TATCTATCTATCTATCTATCTATCTATCTATCTATCTATCTATCTATCTATCTATCTATCTATCTATCTATCTATCTATCTATCTATCTATCTATCTGTCTATCTGTCTATCTGTCTATCTATCTATCTATCTGTCTATCTATCTATCTGTCTATCTATAACTATCCATAACTATTGTCCATTGGTTACCTCTGGCCATGGGCGTGGCTAATTGCTGGCTGTCCCCGCCCTTTTTCCCTCCCACACCTGAGAGGAAGTGCAGATAAAGGCAGTACAGGTAAAACCAAGCAGCAGCAGTCTGTCCTCACCTCCTCCTCCTCCTTGTCTTCCTCCTCCTCGTTGTCTTCCTCCTCCTCCTCCTCCTCCTGCTCCTCCTCCTGCTGCAGGTATGGTGCAGGGCAGCAGCCTGGACTCTGTACATACGGCAGGTACCGTTGGATCCCTGTAACGTGAATATGAGATCAGCTGAACTCTTCTTCTTCTTCTTCTTCTTCTTCTTCTGTCTCCTGCTCAGCAGTAACTCCACGGACTAATGGGGATTTCTCTGCTGATCCTGATTCTGCACTACTGGATCAACACCGCGGCAGGTAAAGAAAGACCCGGCACGTACACACACGTACACACACGTACACACACGTACACACACACGGCACTACTGTATAGTCACTATACACAGATGTGAGAGAACTTGTAACATCATGGTTCACGGTCAGATCACCTGAGGGACTTGACTCACATGGTGACTACTTCTGGCCAATTGTTCCATAAAATGTTTTTATATTTTTAGAATTTTTTTTTTAATAATAAAAAAACAACAACAACAACGTGTGTGTGTGTGTGTGTTCACTGACATTCACAGAAAGTTAATGAAGAAGGAATTGCTACCATAGAGGAAACAACAAAAACTATCAACACTGAAATAGATATGACCTTCCTGTTTCTGATCTGGTCACATGTCAGATATAAACAAATCACAATACAATAAAGCATGATTGGTGTTGAATATATATTTACATGTCCTGAAATACACTTGGCTGTTTTTGTATATTTTCACCATTTCCGATAGCTATAAAACCATTAAGCTATAAAATAAAAAAAACCAGAATTAATCAGTAGTTAGAGGATACACGTTCCTGGAGTTTTATCGTGTACTACATATATTTTAAGGAATCGAATTGACTGACAGAAAAAGTTACAAATGTTAACAATGTAATATCACCCAAACTTTCAGTACTAATATTAAAAAAAAAAAACAAAAAAAAAACACTGCTAATTATTATCATTATCTTGTTATTTGGATGTTTAACAACTCAAAGGTAGAGTATGAAAAAACTTTTTTTTTTATTGATTGTAAACAGAGAAGCAGTCAAATGATGCATTTAGGGACTACCTCGTAAACCATGACTTTAAAATTAACTATGGAGTCGACTCACTACTGCAGTAGAACACATGGAGTACAGTACAGTACAGTTTGACTTACCTATGGAGTTGACTCACTACTGCAGTAGGAGTACAGTACAGTACAGTTTGACTTATATATATTTTCCAGAAAGATCTAACGAATAACGTGTAGCATCATGAACAAACCGCTAACCAGCTAATCTTTTACCGGCGCGATGTTCGTCCTGTCACAGGACTGTGTTCAGATGGCGGCGCTGTGACTTGTGACCAGTGTCTGCAGCTCAGTGCTGACTGTGCGTGGTGCTCACAGGAGGTAAGACTTTTTAAAATTGAATTTTTTTTTTAATTTCCTTTTTTAATCAGTAAATGATTTTGCTTCCATCTCTTATCTTCCCAGAACTTCACAGAGTGGTACTCGGTCAGTGAGAGATGTGACACACTGGATGCCTTGGTGGTGAAGGGATGTGCCCAGAGTCACCTGGTGTTCCCTGTCTCTGAAGCCCAAGTCCTTCACAACCGCCCACAGGGCGAGGAAGAAGAGGACGCCGCTAACAGCACCCAGATCTCACCGCAGAAAATGTCCCTCAAACTGCGCCCTGGTATGCAATCGCGAGCTTTGCAATCTGATAGCTTCCCTCAGGAGGAGGAAGTCCCTCATTTTCAAACACAAATAAGGTGTTGATTTTGATTTGAAACAGGCAGTCAATTGACCTTCCAGGTCAAGATTAAGCAGACGGAGGACTACCCCGTGGACATGTACTATCTGATGGACCTGTCCGCTTCCATGATCGATGATCTGGAGCAGATCAAGGACTTGGGCTCCTCTCTGTCCAGAGAAATGGCCATTCTTACCAGTAAATTTCGCATGGGCTTTGGTTCTTTTGTGGAGAAACCTACCCTGCCTTTTATCAAGATCACAGAGGAGCAGCTGGCTAACCCCTGCAGGTAAACAGAAGAAAAACTTGATTCATATATCGATAGCAGTTGCATCAGACACCACACGTCAGCCTATTTCCCACAGAGCGTTGCTACCTTGACATATAGCGTTATGTAAGCCTTCCAGGTCATTAAATATTATCAATACTCAACTTAATTGGTAATTGATATTAGCGAGTACACAAATGAAAATGCTAATATATTCAGTTATTAGAGTTTTTTTAGATTTGTCAGGCTAGAACGTTTGACCTACCTTCCCAGGCCTGTAAGTGGTTATCAATGCGCGCCTGAGAAACTCCGAGGTTTTAGATACGGTATGTTGGTAAACATTTCAAGATGAATCCTCTAAACCTGATCAAAACATCCTCCCCAGGAAAAAAAAACACTGATTACAACTTGTCCAGTTATCAGTTTTGTCAGTATGCTAGCTTCTAGCTTGTTAGCATCCTAGCACATACTGTATCCTATTTGCATCACAGTGCGTTACATTTTAGCGCAGGGTTATGTTAGCCCAGTTAGTAGAATATTAATTTGACAGTCAAAGGACATAAACATAGAGAAGAACCTGGGACAAAAAAAGAAACATACAGAGACGGTGAAAACCTTGCTAATTTGAACAGAAGCCAGTAGCTAAAATAGTTGGCCAGTTAGTAGAATATTAATTTGAGAGTCAAAAGACATAAACAGAGAAAAACCTGATCAACTGGGACAAAAAAAAAACCATACAGAGACGGTGAAAACCTTGCTAATTTGAACAGAAGCCAGTAGCTAAAATAGTTCAGGGGTTTCAGTGAAGTCATAGATTTCAACAGAGGCCAAATTCCCACAACTAGATGAAAACAGTCCAAATCTAATTGTGTTCTTCATATATTTGTCTACAGTAGTGTCGCAACGACCTGCTTGCCAACATTTGGCTACAAGCACATCTTGTCTCTGACGAGCAGCACGGACAAGTTCAACGAGATAATCGCATCACAGCGCGTTTCTGCCAATGTCGACCTGCTGGAGGCCGGCTTCGATGCCATCATGCAGGCAGCTGTTTGTGGGGTAAAAGAAGAAAAAAAAAAGTCTTCAAAAGCCCAAGAGCTCAAATTTCATTTGTTAAACCGTGTTATAAATGAGGACATTGTTTACGTGTCTCCTGATAGGACAAGATCGGCTGGAGGAGTGATTCCATGAGGCTCCTGGTGTTTGTCAGTGACGCTGATTCACACTTTGGGATGGACAGCAAATTGGCCGGAATCGTGATTCCTAACGACATGCAGTGTCACCTAGACGTCAACAATGAGTACTCCATGTCCACAGTACAGGTGCGGCCACAGAATGTGTGTGTTCAATGCAGAAATAGTGACCTCTGGAGGAACAGCAGCCTCTTTTCCACAGATTCTGTTCTGGATGTTTTTATATTCGTTGCTATATGTATTAGACCATATGTATCAGAAATTGAACTCAAACTTGATTTATTACCACTCTAACAGGTTCATAAAAGGAAGGTACAAAATAGCGCCAAGTTAGCCTTCAGGCTAACTTGAGAAGACTTGAGAAGACTTGTCCATGTATCCATAGCCACAGTCAAAAACTAAAGCTCAATTTTAGTTACAAAAAATAAGACTACATTATTTAGAAAAATAAATAAATAAATTTAGCCCCAAAAAAAGATCATTTTGATCAAAAGTAAACAAAAAAATAAATAAACCATGGAACATATCCAGTAAGAACTAAGCATTAGCCAAAAATATCCGAGCACAGATTGTCGACTAAAATCATTAAAAAAGTATATGTTAGCTAAAACATGCAGTAAACTAATGTAGCTTTTGGCTATAGCTATACATTTAGAAGGAGTGATTCATACTCCCTGTTGTTATTTTCCTTCTCTAGGAGTATCCAACTCTGGGTCAGCTGATCGATAAAGTGGTGGAGAACAACATCTTACTGATATTTGCCGTGACACAAGAGCAGATACACAACTACAAGGTGAGAGCGTCGCCATGTGAAAGTCTGATTAATCACATTGTTTACTGAGGTTTGCATATTTATGCAGTGAGCGTCAGTTCATCAGCCTGTTGAAACTAGTCCTCCCCACATCCTCGTGCACTTTCTCAGGAACAAGAGCCTAGTCTGCCCAAACCTGAGTCTCCTGTTTTTGTTTGTCTGATTATTCCTCTGTTGTTTTTTTTTTTTTTCATTTCCCCATAGAACTACGCAAATCTCATCCCTGGTGCCACGGTCGGAGTCCTGGCCAAAGATTCCAGGAACATCCTGGAACTGATTGTTACTGCCTATAAAGTGAGTGTTGTGATCTTGTATGGGTGTGTTTTTGCAAGGGTCTGGTCATAAAAGAAAAAAAAAAAAACAAATCTCAGAAAACACCTGCCATGATATAAAAACAGATCTAATCCAATCCAATCTTTTTACCGGGTTTTCCTACAAACATGCGTGTCATTACTGCAGGAAGAGACAGTATCTCTGCCCTCTCATTCTTTCCTCCTCTCTTTCATTCTCTCCTCTATCACATTTTTTCCCCTTCCCTTCTCTTCTCCGCAGCTTTGCTTTAGCGTGTCCTACGGCAAGTCTCTTCTTGTCCCCCGCTGTTTGATCTCCTCCCCACGCTGACGCTGATTCACCCTTTTTTTTTTTCTCTGTCCCCCTTTTCCTTCCAGCTCTGTCTCCCTACCATCTACCCTTTTGCACTCTGTGTCCTTTCGTAAACCCCCCTCCCACCTCCACCTCCACCTCCACCTACGCCCCAGCCTGCAGCAGCGAGCCACTCCGCGGTCCTCTAATTACTTCATCACATTTTCTGTTTACACCTTCCTTTTAAGCGGTGCCACGTAAACCACAGCAGAGAGAGGACAAGCTGTGATCACACTTGTTCCAGTTGTACTTCTTTGTACTTTTTAGATGAGAGTAAACTCCAAACGGAACCACGTAGACAGTCAGGATTGATTGTTATTAAGTATTTATTTACGCACCTGCCTGGAGTTTTCTACACTGAAGTTCACTGTTGTAAATCGAATTAAGCTGCAGCCCTTCTATTACACCTTGTAAATCAAATTAAGCTGCAGCCCTTCTATTACACCCAGCTCCAAGGTTTGTTGCTAGCTAGTAGCTACATAAGGCTAACTTAAAAAAAACCCTGTTGACAAAGTGAAGGCTGTTGTTGTGCTATTACTTTTTGTACTTTTTGTACATTGAGATATTTCTAAGCCCTATTTTTTTACACAACTTTTTTTTTTTTTCACACAATAATTTGCTCATTTGTTAAATCTAACACGGCAAATAACTGTGAATGAATTCATTTTAGAAACGTTTCTGTTTCTAGCTCAAGTTGTAAAATTGTGTTGTCCTTTTTACTAACCTTAGTATACACTTTCGCCTTTGTGTTTTGAAGCCTTCAGATGTAACCAAATTATTTCTAAAAAAAAAAACAACTTTTTGCTGTCTTTTAGCAGTCCTTGTTCATACGTAGCTGCTAATGCTAAGCTAGTTTTTTGCTCACCAACTTGGCTCTATTTGAACCCTTTTCTAATCCTTGCTAAGTCTGATGCATTTTAACCATGTTTTAGCTATATTGTAAATATATAGTATATACAGTAGTTAGCTATAGTATAAATATATTATTTTAATTTAGTTATTAATTAACCTTTTTTCTAGGATTTTAAAAAGAAGTTATGTCAAATCAAAACATGTAAAAACCAAAATATCAAATATATGACATAAAGTGCTCAAACAAAAAAAAGGTTAAAGGTCTTATAAAAATGTGTTAAAGCTGGGTGGACATGATTTGACTGCAGTAGAAATCTCCTTGTGTTTTTTTGAATACACCGTGTTCACGGACTATCTCTTTAAGCAGCGCTGGCGTGCAGCACGTAAACAAACGACAGGCTGTGTTTTATCTGCTTATAATCCTTCCTCATGAGGGTTTGTCCCACAACTCTCCCAGTTTTGTTCCCATAGCAACACTGGAGACACAGTCTGATTGCAGTCCTGCAGGAAGGACACAGTTAACCCTGTGTTAGCAGCCAGACAGTCCGTCACTGAGCTCATTAGTCAGTCAAACACGGCCCGTTCCTCCACCTCAGCTCCTGCCACTCTTACCTCAGGCACAGCACACCTGGGATCATGACTCAGCCACAGAGAGTGAGGGTTTTGAACGCTCTTAGCTTGTCATAGGTCAGCGTAGGGTGAAAGAGAATTTCCTTCTGGAAACTCCCGTCAGTGATAGACAAAAGAACCCTCAGAGTTTGGTGATATCAGATTTAAAAAAGATTTATAACTGAACTCTGATTTCCCCAGGAACTGCGCTCAGAGATTGAACTTGAGGTTCTAGGAGACACCGACGATCTGCAGATGTCCTTTACAGCCATTTGTCCGAACGGTACAGTTCTCCCCGGCCTGAAACGCTGCTCCAGCATCAAACCAGGAGAGACGGTCAGTAGCTTTTCCCTCACTTTTTTCTCATGTGCCTGGAAGTCTGCTGGGAGTAATGGTCCCAGAATAAGAAAAGAGCAAAAGAGAAACCAAAGATGAAATCTGTTAGTGACAATAACCGGGGTTTGTAGTCATTTTAGGTTCTTCAGTTTGAACGCTTCAAACTGCTTCCTTTCAGGCGCAATAAATATTGTTTTGAATGATTGTTTGAAAAATCGATAATAATTCTAATGATCTAAAATGATAGTTTTACTTAAGATTTTTTTCTTAATCAAGAAAATTCATCAATTTCATATAAATATGTTTCATATAAAATTTAATAAAAATGTATTTCGTCCATGGCTAAATACATAAATGAACTACATTGATGTTTATTTAGAAAAATATACTTAATATTAATAATAATTATACTAATACTAATACTTATTAATACTTAATAAGTTAAATCATTGTTTCCCAAAGACTGGGTCGCGGACACGCGGGGGGTGCGGCAGGGACAGCTTTTTGGGCTGTGTGGTCTTAATGTCTATTGTTTTGGGTCGCGAAAGTTTGTGACTTTTAAAATATGGGTCCCCAGAAAAAAAAAGTTTGTGGGAAACACCGAGTTAAATCACTGCCATTCATTTGTCTCATACTCTATCAGAAAAATCTCAGTGTTTTTTTTTAATTATCCATTCATTGCAGGTGGGACATTTTGACTACTTTTATCACAGCCAGGTTAACGATCTGCATCAGATCAGTTCTAACTGATCAGTTAACAACAAGTAAATTGGACAATGCCGTCTCCATTTTCACTCCTCAGGTCGTCTTCAACGTGACCGTTGAGCTCCCAGGGTGCCTTTCAGGAGTCCGTCAGTTCTCCTTCAAACCTGTGGGTTTACAGGACAGTTTGGAAGTGGAGCTGGAGTCTCTGTGTTCGTGTGACTGTCAACATCTCCCTGAAGGGAACAGCAGCAGCAACAGCAGCAGCAGCAGCAGCAGCAGCCAGTGCTCTGAAGAGCGAGGAGATTTCCACTGTGGCATATGTGTGTGTCACCCAGGCTTCCTCGGATCACAGTGCGAGTGCAATGAAGAGACTGCTTTGTTGAGCAACTGCCTGGCAAACAATGCGTCAGAGATGTGCAGTGGCCAGGGCCAGTGCTACTGCGGCCAGTGTGTGTGTGACTCGTCCAACTTTGGCCGCATCTACGGCCGTCACTGTGAGTGTGACAACTACTCCTGTGTCCGTTTCCGTGGAGAGCTGTGTGGAGGTGAGGCCCCGCACGTCACGGTCCTTCCGGAGACCTTCTCGCTCACACTGAGCGTTGAGTTCTAAAGTCCTCTTGGTCTTTGTAGGTCATGGTGTGTGCGACTGTGGGGAGTGTCAGTGTGACACGGGCTGGACGGGAGAGTACTGTAACTGCAGCAGCAGCACTGACGCCTGCGTGTCGGAGGACGGCGCTGTCTGCAGCGGCAGAGGCCGATGCGAGTGCGGCCGCTGTGTCTGCTCCGTCCCCGGAGCTTCTGGGGAAACGTGTGACAAGTGTCCGACGTGTGGAGACGCCTGCAACTCTGCAAGGTCAGAACGCGATGTTAACATTGCCACAAAAGAAAGAATGAGGGATGTCCATTCCATTTTCCGAATCTGGAACGCCATGTTGGACATTCCAAAATCAGAAAAGTTGCGGGCCAATCAGAGAGTTGATAACACTTGCTGCCTTAAATACAAACCATGTTGCCAGGTGAATGATAATAATTTTATTTATATTACAGATTATTACAGATTATTACAGATTATCATTGTATGATTGATAATTTAACCCAGGGGTGTCAAACTCATTTTCACCGGGGGCCACGTTAGCAGTACAGTTCCATTTGAAGGGCCGCTTGTAAATGGAAGACTGAGATCAGGAGGTCCCCAACCCCTGGTCCGCGGACCAGTACCAGTCCATAGGTCATTTGATACTGGGCCATTTAATTTTTACTGATTTACTTCATTCAAAGAAAATCCACTTACATCCATTTACTTTCTTTGTTTATAAGATAATCTGGCAATATTTTAAAATAAAAGTCAGTCAGACTCTGATACAAACAGAATAGAGTCTAAAAGATGTTTTATTCTGAAGATCATTCAATTTTCAATGCTTCAATGCTCAGCAACTTGGTACAGGTCTGTACTAATGCTTGGTACTGACTGACCAGTCCTTGTAACAACAAAGGTCAGGGACCGCTGGTATCGATGTAACTACTCCATACATGTTTCCGCAGTTGATTATTATAAAAACTTTTAATTTCTCAGGTTAACAAACTCTGCTGCACGGACTTTACTAAATGCTTTTTAAAACTCCCGCGGGCCACACGAAACGGCTTGGCGGGCCGCATTTGGACCCCGGGCCTTGAGTTTGACACGTATGATTTAAACCAATCACAAATTGTACAGTAATTCCCCTCTGTGTTCTACAGTTAGCATCTTTACTTGCTAACTGTTCTTCCACATATTCTCATTCGTTTTCAACTTCAGCACACTCAATGTTTTCATCTTTTTCAACTTTCCCTAAATAGTGCAGTTACCAAAATGTACAGAAACCAGTGGAAACCTACCAGTCCGGAGGTTTCCTGCAGTCTTTTCGAGTTCAGACCTATCAGGTTCTGGTTCTCTTGTTCACATGTGTCTACACCTTTCATGTGACATGAAAAGACGACCCATGTCCTGAACGCAGCGGGAGGAGATTTCCTTTCCTCATTGTGAGGCCATTTGATATCAGTGTTGTAGAGAAAACAGGCGACAGAAGAGACGTGAGTGAAGCTTTGGGAAAGACTCAAAAGTTAGCCACACTAACAGAGGTTCCTCTTTGTTCAACGTCTCACTTTTTAACCTCCCAGGAGAGGTTTCTGTCTCCTCTGAATGTTTGATCCTCTTGTTAATATCACGGTGTCGTTCTTATCATCAGGGGCTGCGTGGAGTGCCATCTACAGGACAAAGACGACACTGACTCCTGTAATCAGAACTGCAGTGTTCCTAAAGTTTACATCAACACAACAGGAGGTAAAGAATAACTTCTTTAAATTGTACAGTGTAATGTATAGGGGTTTCTAACCCCTGATGGTGCAGTTACAGATTACAACCTCCAGGGGGATTTTTGCATCACAAACCTAACGATTCAGAATCACATCAAGATAGTATACTTCTTTTCGGTTCGTTTTGTGCTCTTGTGTTGAAAAGCAGGGTCACTGCAGTGCATAGTTTTTCCAAAAAAAAAAAAAAAGAAAAAAAGAAGATAAATTAAACTTGGTATTCAATGGGTCACTAGAGGGAGTAACTGGTTGCCTCCACCCTACCAGCAGACAGCAAACAGTTTTATGAGCAAGATCACAAAGGCAAAGGGTTTGCAGTGCATTGAAAAATCTGCTCACTTGGGTCCAGAAGGTTGCAGGTTCGAATCCACCGACCCCTCGGCACCACAGTGTTTGCGGTCGGGGGGGCGGCGGGGGAAAACAAATCTCTCTAAAGAGGAAAAAGTTGTCCAGTTGAATACCCTGGTGTCATTGTTCCACTTAAATGAATAGCTGTGCAAACAAAACAACCCTGTTTTGTTTTCACGTTTTCAAAGTTGCTGTTCGCCCGGTAAGTTTTCCCGTGGGTCAGGGGTTCGTAGGAAGGCTGACCTCAACCCTCTTCCGTTATCACAACAGGCATCCATGTCCATTGAGGCAGCAGCAGCAGCAGACAATAGAGAACATATTCTTTACCTTGTCGTACAAGGCAAGGCTTTTATAGTGCTTGTGAATAGAAGACGAGATAAATTCATTCTTGAGTCGACTGACACACACACACACACACACACAACCTCTGATATGGAAATCTCAGCCGCAGCTCAACAGAAGGGAAGTTCCTCCGTGTACATTCTCAGCGTGTTGTGAAAAGGAAAGGTGATATTCCCCTCGATTCATGACATCCTTATGGCAACGTTTGTGTAGAGAAGTGGGCCGTAGAATTGAAAAGGCGAGGCCACAGTGTTAGACCGTGCACAGTTTAGTTGAACACAACCCTGATGTGTCACAGGAATTGAAGAAAGAAACACAAAGCTCTCCAAAAGCTCTGTCACTCTTTCATTCGTTTTTTTTTTTTTATAGCCTTCTGCTGCGACCTGTAGAGTATTAACATTTTCTGCCTGTGACTTTTTATTTTTTTATTTTTTGAATTATTTATTTTTGCAGAAAATATATAATCATTTTCAGACCAGTTGAGTTCGATTGGATAGATTGCGGTTGTTTCCCAAACTTGTTTTCTGGGGACCCATAGTTTAAAAGTCACAAATTTTCGCAACCCAAGTCAATAGACATTATTCATAAACTCCTGGGAAACATGATGCGAGACGACCCCAAAGAAAAAACTCTTGCGACCCACCTGAGGTTCGCGACCCAGTGTTTGGGAAACATTGCTCTAAATGATACACATATTCCCATGTTGCAGTGTGCTAAAAATGTTTACTCTTTTCTCCCAGATTATGATAGCAGCTCTTTGCCCTGCACACTGATGACAGAGAACGAGTGCTGGATCTCTTTTAATGCGGTGGCGAGTGAGACAGGAACTGTGGTCTACAATCTGGATATGTACGGTAAGACATGAGCAGGAGACGACACATCTACTGTACATTATTGTATTGTCCAGAGGGGAACTGCAGCTGGTTTTCATCTGCACCGAAGTCGGCGTCATTTCATTTCACTACTGGTCACGTCGCAGCAGGTGTTTGCTGTCATTTGTGTTGAGCAACGGGTTGTAAAAGTGTGGTTAAGTCAGACTTAGCCTTAAATAATTATTCCTTTTAAATAGTCTTCGAAAAGAGAAAACCTAGCCTTGTGTGATGTGTTGTTTTTCATTTAAAATTAGTCACGTGACCCTGCAGGGCACCCAGGTTTTTGACTGTTCTAGTCGAAACATAATATAAATATATTATGAATTACATATATATAAGATGAAATCATTGACTGGAGTTGATCTCTCCGACCAACACCTCAGTGACTCAATCAAAGATGATTCATTTTTTCTGGACAGTGCAGAGAAAGGAGACTTCGGTTGAAGGCGTAAGTGAAACCACTGCATGTGTGGACGTGCACAGACAGACACAGAAAGAAAAGTGCAGGCCTCAGGCTGGAGTTTGACTTACTTACTTACTTATTTACTGTGTCTCCACAGAGACGACCACTCTTCCTTCAATGTACACATCCCTCTGTTTCCATTCACATTCAGGTTGAGATCCACATCAGTCGAGCGTTCCGTGCAGTTGTACCTAATTACAGATGCAGGTCTAGTCATTGGCCTACGTTTCTATATAATCAACTGCTTCCCCCTGAAACACAGGCAGATGGAGATATTAGCTTTGATCAACTAGGTGTGACCAGAAAACAGTGTATGCTGTTATCACTGATTGAATTTTAATTTTTTTTTTTTACTTCGATTTGACCTGTGAGTGATCACAGTACCAAAATCCAAAAGGCTTTATATTTGCACTTTGGTTACAAATTTGTTAGATTTGTTTGTTTTTTTATTATGTTTTTGTTTGTTCAGGAAAAAAAGAATCATTGTGAGCCGATGTATCAAATATGATACAAATTCAAAAACTCATACATGGAAAACGATATTTGAATTTTTTGTTTGTTTGTTTGTTCAAAGGGACCAATGAAGGGTCCAAGTTCAAAGAATTGGAATTTTCTGTCAGTTATTTAATAGTTTGGGCTTTACAGGGTTAACATACACAGCTGATTCATATGCAGTCACATCATCTGCAGATGATAAAATGGTTTTTTTTTTCATTTTGTGGTTTTAAGCCTTTTAGTTTAAAAACAACCATTATCACAAACGGGTTCATTTCATGATATAGTTGACGGGAAATCCTAACAAACGTCCTTGTTATCAGGACGTTCCAACATTTAATACACTCTGTGTGATGCTTATCTGCCAGCAAAGCTGCTGGTGTTGAGCAACATATGCTTTAAATCAATGATCATCAAATGGTGGTCCACGGGCCGAATACAGTCCACTGAACCATTCACTCCAGCTCCCGAATGGATTCCAAAATATACTTAAAATTTAAAAAAATTATTTGATTTTCCACCTTAATGTGACAAATTCAACAGGTTACCTCTGCCTTAAATAATGACCATTCTTGATATTTTTGATTTTTTTCACGTGGAAGAGTTTTTTCACTCAGTTTATTGACAGCAAAAAAAATCCACCCTTCTGCTTCAAGTTGTCATTATTCATTAAAAGAAACTGCTTTTCCTGCCGACGCAGTAGTTCTTTTATGTTCCCATCAAAAGGAAAAACAAAAGGCAGACTTCAACCAGCCATCAACTCCACAAACATCTTGTGTTCTCTGCCAGGTTGTCCAGAACCTCCCAACATCCCTATGATTATTTTGGGCGTCTCCCTTTCTGTGGTTTGCATTGGCCTGATCCTGCTGAGTGTGTGGAAGGTGCTGGTGTCAGTACACGATGGTAAAGAAGTGGCCAAGTTTGAGGCAGAGCGGGCAAAGGCCAAATGGCAGACGGTAAGACCTGGAGGTCATTTTTGAAATGCGTCTGTGTTTAAATGGTGACCGGTCTCTGTTTTTTTTTTTTTTTTTAAATAATTTTGTGTCACGTGTTGTCGCTCTTCCTCAGGGAACCAACCCCTTGTTCAGAAGCTCAACGTCTACGTTCAGAAATATCACTTACAAGAACACACAGAAAGAGAAGTTTATTACGACGGATACCTGCTGAGCATGGACTGGAGTCAACTGAGTGCACTTAGGTGTGTGTGTGTGTGTGTTTGTGTGTGTGTTTCATTCACCTGTTCAGATATGTTGTGTGTGAGAGGACAGTTGTGGTTGAAAACCAACACTGACAGTCACTTTTGAATTTACTTATTCAAGTTTCCGTGTCTGCCCAGTAACTGCTGGCCCGCCGGCGCCCCTAGAGGTCACATTTCTTTACACTGCTAACGCTGCATATTCATTTGGTTATGGAGTTTCATTAAAAAAAAAAAAAACAGAACTGAGGCAAATTTTCTAAGCAAGTCATCCATCATCCTAAATCATACCTACTGTAGGTTCAAAATAATTTGATCCCTTTTGAGCTGTAACATGTTTTCAAATATTCAAATTCTCCTAGATTGAAAAGCAGAAACGTTAGTGAATAAAACCCAAACCATTCATGAAAAACACCCTCCACTACTATGCACACTTGAAAACACGGCCCAACATCGAGTTGATAAATAGTTGGAAATAAGTGTTCTATCTGTTACATGAGAAAAGCCGCTGCGTTCATTGAATCATTTCAAATCTATATTTAACTCCTGATTACATTTCAATTTTATTCCCAAACAAAATGCTAGAAATTGTAAGTCAAGCTGTTTAATTTTTGTAGCAAAAATGTCAGAAAATGTTCTGAAATATTGCACTTTCTTGCACTTGAATGTTAGAATGGCCCTGAGATGTCAACATTCAGTTTAGGTTTGAGACTCTTGGTCTGAAGAGTGAAAGTTCAGACACTGGGACTTAGATAATGTAAATATGGAAGAGGTCCTCACAACATTGATGTCGAAATATAGGTGTGAAAGAGAGTGTGACCTCATGTATTAATGTTATTGATGTGATATCACAGTCGGAAACACTGTGACCACTACGAGATGAACACTACGAGATGCTGCTGCTGTAAAAGTACACTGTCATTCACTGCGCTTCCCTGAGTCGTAATCCTGCAAATGTACAACACAACTGTCTGTCTACTACTGTAACCTGCAGCATGGAGATGTCAACACTACTGAGAAAAAAAAGTGCCCTTTAACATTTAAAAGCCTTTTAACATTAATGAGTGTAAATATGAACTGATTATTTTTGGTTATATTATTTTGCTGTTTGTAAGGCTGAGCCTGAAATGTTGATCGTTTTTTTTATGACTAGGTACACAAATAAAACTTTTGCGTTTTATTGTCAAATTTTTAATCCTAATTATGTGATTCTGTGTTTTAATAAAACAGTTCAGTTTCACCAAAAAAAAATTAAACCTTGAGAATGTTTTTAAAGATGCTTTGAATATTATTCTTAAATGAAATGAAAAACATGTTGTTAGACTGTATTCATGGAAGCATCCTTGAACACGGTAGCAGCTATATACGTATATATACTGCATATATATAGAGCACTATACAGTATTACTTTTATGACTGTAGATGTATAGTCCATATTTACCAATTCCTAAAAAGTAAAATAATTTTTTTTTGTACTTTTATTTAACTTAAGTAAAAACTCCAGCCTCCTGCCTCGGCAGCGGTAGCAGCAGCAGCGGCAGCAGCTCCAGCTCCTCCACCGTCAGACGTGACGTCACGGTTCTCCTCCACTTTGGTCAAAGTTTTTCATGAGAAGGGGAAAAAAGCACAGTGGGGTGCGGAGCTGACTGTAGACAGTAGAAAAACTCTCAGTCGGAAACTAAATTCGTTAGTTTCCCTCGGCTGTGGAAATGTCCACACGGCCGTGTCGCTGCGTCCACGCTGCTGCTGCCGCTGCTGCTGCTGTGGCGGCGACGCTTTTCTCGCTGTTGCTCGTTGTACAAGTCTGTGTGTGTGTCAGCGGCGAGGACGAGGAGGTTCTGGAGAAACAACAGCTCGCGGAGTTTTACAGTAAGTTCGGTCCGGTCCGTGTCGGCAGTACTGCAGCTCCTTTCACAGCCGTATAACCGCCTCAAACGTTACGAATTTGTCAGGCGCGGCTCTGGTGGAGCTCAGTCTGTTATTACTGGAGAAAAGATGTTCCCATTGTGCAGGAGAGAAAAGTCTCTGTTTTTAGCGGCCCAGTGAACTGTGTACTGGTCCATATGGACTGTGGATAAGGTTTAAAAGTAAAAATAAAATAAAATAAAAACTCAAAAGGATACATGGTAAAAGAGGGCAAGTATAGTAAACAACACTTTAAACACTTAAAATCTCTGCTAATGCCAGCAAATCTCAACATAATTAGACGTAGGAAGTCAAAACGCAGTCAATGAGACGTTGGCTCACTAGTTTGAAATAACATGGAACATCTTTCCAAAGAAGATTGTTTCGGTCCATAAACTTATATTATAACTAGACCAAGCTGTGCTGCTGCAAGAGTGAAGCCAAGGAAGTCAGACGGAAGTGTGTCTCTGGTTTCAGCAGTGACAGAGTTTGTATGTGAGCCTATGTAAAGTGTATGGTCCCTTAGTTTGGAACGGTTGTTATCATTTCTCTGACAGTCGTTTTGGTTCCAGGCCTCTCTAAAGAATATTAACATAGGTAATATTAAGTAAACAACATTTGACAAAAAAAAACAAAAAAAAAAAACAACAACAAACAGAAGAGAGTCATCAGTGGGAGGGTGAATTTTATTGGTCACTCCAAGTCAGTGAGAGCTGCATCACCTAGTACGGGTCTGACAATGAAGACTGTTGTCACCCCATGGTCACACGTGGCCATGACGTGGTCCACTGAGCCACCGGGAATGGAATGAGCATCTAGGCTGGTCAATTACTGACTGAGGGTGAAGTCATATTTTTGAATCCTATTGTATTCCTTCCATCCATGTCCTGAACAGCGCCCCCTCCCTTTATTCTACTAGGAGTATAAGTGTTTTTCCATCAGCACAGGTTTGGCCTATAGGTTCTCCTGATTCTCCTTAAGATGGAGAGGTATCATAAAGGTTACTGAGTCCATGAAGTGGAGATGTACCTGGGGCACATTCCATTCCATGCAGCTTATTTTGTTGATACTTTTACATAAACAACGCGTTTCACTTCTAGTTCAGTGGTTCTCAAACTGTGGTGCGTGTACCACCGGTGGTACGCGGGCGCTCTCTAGTGGTACCTGGAGAAAATTCATATTTTCACATTTACATTTTCAATTGAATAAATCTGAAACATACCAGGCATAATTAGTACAACATTTAAACATAAACATCTTTCTAAACATCTCTCCTGTGGTGGAAGCTAACAGTGAAGGCCTCTGCTGCTGTATTCTAATGTTGGTCATCATGGTGGTACTCAGAGAGCTCAAATGTTTTCTCAGGTGGTACAGAGTAGAAAAGTTTGACAAACTGTTCTAGTTAAATGTAATTTTCATTTGTTGTTTTATTTCTCATTTTCATCTCGTTTCGAGTTTTATAAACTACAGGTAAAAGATGATTGCGAAGTCACTTGGAATGAAGGGAAGTTAAAGAGCACTGTGTCATCTCCTCTCATCATTTCTCTTCTTCTCTCCTCTTTTGACCTCTCCTTCCAGAGAAGGGTGTGTTCATTCTGGAGAGTGAACTAACCAAGCGCTGTGTCACAGTGGGTCGCTCGAACCTCGTACTGGACGACTGTAAGCGGCCCACGAGTCGCATGTTGTGGAAGTGGGTCTCTCAGCATCGCCTCTTCAACCTGGGCTCCAGCAGGTGCCTCGGCCTCAACATCTCCGACCCGACTCAACCTCTGGGCATGTTTGAGTGTGACATGTCCCTTCCCGTGCTGTGGTGGCGCTGCAGCGGGAAGATGCTGTACGGAGCATCGCAGTGGAAGGTGGCCGTGACGGGACGTTCACTGGTAGTTAAAAAGAACAACTTTCACGCATGGAGGAGGTACAACACGGCCAGGGAGGGGCCCTGTTCGTATCCGTATGAAGGTACAAAAATAACCAGTGTCGAAACCTCCGCAGTTATTTAATCTTTCAGTTGTTTGCACGAGATGTTTGTGTTTCACTTGCAGATATCCACACTCTGCTGGGGAATGCACACGGTATGCCCTGTGCGCTACCTTTTAAATACAATAACAAGTGGTTCTCGGAGTGCACCAGTGAGGGCCGTGAGGACCAGCTTCAGTGGTGTGCCACCACCACCCGTTATGACGAAGCTGAACGCTGGGGCTTCTGCCCTGTCCAAGGTAAAACGCAAGACACGATACCATGTCCTAGATCTTCTCTACTTTAGCACCACCTATCTGTATTCCCCAATTTAAAATGGGATTTTTTTTTTCTCTAGAACAGGCATGGGCAAACTAAGGTTCTGCTTTTAATGCTTTTAAATCCGACCCGCCAAATTTTTCCAAATTTCTGCTTTTAAATCCAACCCGTCAAATTTTTCCAAATTATATAATTTATTTATGTTACCATTATACTCCTTTTCCCTGCAATACCCACATTTCCCCAATAGATGGCATAGAAAATGACAAAAGCATTTTAGCATTTTAGCCTTTATGCATTACTTTTACGTCATTTATCTTAGTTCACACGAACGCTCCATCTATCTGCTCCTGACCCGGGCCCCCTGTTCAATTTTAGGACAACTGTGGCCTGCTAGTTAAAAGGTTTGACCACGCCTGGTCTAGAAAGTAGACTGGGTGTTTTCAACCTGATCTAACTGAATAATTCCACCGCACTCTGGCAGTTCTGTGTACAAATATCTATGTCTGGAGACAGAGAGTATACCCCAACTGTACGAGTTGTTTCCCCCCCTAGACTCAACTTGTGAACATTTCTGGGAGTCCAACGAGGAACTAAAGGCGTGTTACCAGTTCAACCTTTACACCATCCTGACCTGGAGTCAGGCTCAGGCCACCTGTCAGGCTCAAGGAGGAAATCTGCTGAGCATCAGCAGCCTGGCAGAGCACAGGTACATCAGAGGTAGGCATCTGGCCAGTCCACCTTAAATAGTAATGTTCCATTCAGTGCACCTCTCTAAGATGCGGCCCTATTTTGAGCTCTATAACCAAACCATGTATATTGAAGTTGGAGCAGATATATACAGATATTAAACAGCATCTCTGTAAATCTAGATCGACTGGCAAGTGTTGGAGTGATGGTGTGGATCGGACTGAACCACCTCAAAGATGGTCGGGGGTGGCAGTGGTCGGATGGAGCGCCGTTATCATTGGTCAATTTCACCACAGGTATTGGTCATTTCTTTGTTTGAACTGAAATAGGCCAGAGTCCTATACATTAGAGACGACAGCTGTAGACTGAACCTCTGCTTTCACATTGTTTTCACAAGCTCTGCCTGCCAGCCCCCTGAAAGACAACAGACAGTGTGGAGTTTATAACTCGGCCTTCCCCGGTCACTGGCAGAGTCTTTCCTGTGAGTCTGCGCTGCCCTACATTTGTAAGAAAACACCAAACAACACCAGGAGAGCCGAGCCAATGGGTGAGGATACATGCATTCTCACACACACACACACACGTATATATATATATATATATACTTCTGAATTCATGGTGTAATAGTTAGATGGTCACTGCTCGTTTCCTGGTTCTAAGCAGATATTCCGTTGTGGAATTTCTCTCCCATTGACCATAGGTGTGAAATAGGTTTAAGCCAAATTCATTAATTGAATTATTGTATGAATCAATCTGCTGGTTATTTTTTTGTATTAGTTAATTAAAATATTATTAATGCTGCAGAGGTTCATGGCTACTTTTTTCTTTTTTTTTAAATCATGTTACTTGATAAAACTGTATTAGAAACCAAAAATGTTCACAAAAAAGCCAAAAACGTGATCAAATTGTAGTGAAACAGGTACTGTAACCACAACAGGATAAGCAAATTATTTAAAGAAACATTTTTGAACTGATTTGTTTTTTTCTACTGACCTTTGACCTAACAGCTGTACCGCCTCTGGAGAGTGATCTTTCGACCTGGCTATTTCTCTCTCATTTTGCAGTGTCTCGTGTGTCTCGACAACTAGACAACAGCAGTGTCTTCTGTGACTAAGGGAATATGATTCTAACTCCTCACTCTCGGTTCTCCCACAGAGAATTGGCAGTACATCTCCACAGAGTGTGTCGATGGATGGTGGCCGCACAATGGTTTTTGTTACAAAGTCCTGCCCAAAACGGAGGCAGGAAGCTGGCCTGACTCATCGGCGGCTTGTGGCTCCCAAGGGTCAAACCTCACCAGCCTGAGGTCATTGTCGGAGGTGGAGATGCTGCTCAGTCTGCTGGCTAACTGTAAGGAGGGCCATTCAGTGTAGACGATTGAGATTCTTTGTTATGTGACTCTGAAGATACTCAACTTCATATGTTAAAGCCAAGAGTTTAGACGTGCTTTAAACTGGTTGTCACTCTCTGTGTGTTTTCTACAGTTTCAGGAGACAGTAAGGAGGTCTGGATTGGCCTTAGGAGACCAATATCCTCACCCTCTGTGCAGTGGTCTGATGATTCACCGGTGACTCTAACTCTGTGGCATCAGTATCAGCCTCCTCCCAACCTGACAGACACAGACCTCTGTGCCAAAGTGGACAGGGAGGTGAGAAAGCTCCTTTTGGGGCTTCTTTTAGATACAGCCAATTTCTCATGAAACTGATTTTATTCTTCTTATTGTAGAGGTGTTTTTCTATTAATAGGCCAAATATTTTTAAATGCAAAAATCACCTTGGCTCCTGGCTGGGGTGCTAGTTAGTCAGACTCTAAAAGTGATGGAGGTGTGAACTTTCAAAAGCATACTCCACCTTTGACTAACAGGAGAAGGTTTATTAACATCTTAATGGCAGCCCTGGACTTCTTGATTCATGCTTTAAAAATCAAAATTTTTAACTTTGAAAGTTTGTGTAGGTGGATTCATTCATTACATGCTCTGTTTTCACAGAAAGGCACCTGGTTATTAACATCCTGTGATGAACAACTGCCTGCTGTCTGCAGAAAAAGAAGCCTGAACCAAATTCCTGTTTTTCATCCTGATTCCTGGGACGAGGGTTGTCCCGAGGTAGGAATGCGCACAAACACTCCAGTCCATAAACAACATTCTTTCAGGTCACCTTGATTGAAACATTTCTTGCGAGATGCTTTTTTTTTTTTTAAAAACCCATTGTTTTCTTGTTACCTAATCTTGCTTCTTGTTTGTGTATGACCAACTGTGATGGTCCAGTGACCAGTACTGGGCCAGTATTTTTACAAAAACATGGTTTTGAAACTAAACTAAAGAAGATGAATGCAGTTTTGCACAATTTGAATGTAATTTTACGTTTGTTGGTCAGGCTGGACAAAGCTAACGCTAAGCCAACACCCTCTCCCTCACTTTGTGACCAAATTGGAATGTGTGATTTTCATTACCGCACCTTACTTGTCTATACATATACTTTGTCTATTATATTGTGCCTAATATACAGTAGTGGTACTGTTTTGTGATTGTGATACTGATTCATTGATTGTGATCACTTTCAACCATCGGAAAAGTCCAGAGAATACGGAGAGATAAACAGGGAGAAACATTGCTGATAATACAACTAAATAACCTCTGTGGATTTTTTTTAAAGGGGTTGTCCTGTCCTACAGTGATTTAGAATCACTACTATCTGTACTGCCTAAGGAAGTACAGATCCTGATCTTAAGTTTCAGATCTGAGGTACTATCTGTACTGATCCTGATCTTAAGTTTCAGATCTGAGCCGATCTTTGTTTATTTTTACAGAGGGTCACGTGACTTCACATTATGTCTGTCACACAAACAAAATCTCTTATTTTAGTGTTGCCTATTTTCACAAGCAGAGTAAAAATAATAAGAAAGAAAAAAAAGAAAAATAACTTGCAGTAAAATAAAAATAATAAGAAAAAAAAAAAAGAAAAATAACTTGCAGTAAATGAAGTGTGATAATCTCACAAAAATTGTAGTGGCAGAACTGCCACTGGTCTAAAAGGATGTCTAAAATTAAACCTGCAGCTGGACACAGCCTCGCTGCTTTAAAAACGTACTCTGGGTAAACATTAAAGGAAGAATAAATATCAGTGGCAGGCCTGAAACTGAAAACCTTATTATCTATAAATACAGGGCCGGGACTCTTGATCAGCTGGTAATCCAAAATAGACACATCAGATTGTGATTGGTGGCCACAACAGCTGATCAGGACATTCCTTCTCATCACAGCCCTAAAGTAGGAGCTAAAAAGGTTCACATGAGAAAAGTTAACTCAGCTCCGATCCTTCCCATTTCCTCTGTGGTGAAGACACACACCGAAATATGTGTTGTTTTTGCTCGACTGTTCAAAAACAACAGACAGAAAAAAACCCTCCATGCTGGGAAACTGACCAGGGAAACTGACCAGGGAAACTAACCATGTACTGTAGCTTTTTGCTGAAACAATCCGACCGGTCGAGTCTGTCGTCCCTCGGTCACGTCCTGTTTAAGTGAAACGCACAGTTACTCATCTGTGCTGTGTCACAATGGCTCCATACAATGCAGGAGGTGCAGCAGGAGGTGCAGCAGGAGGTGCAGCTGGAGGTGCAGCAGGAGGTGCAACCACGTGCGGACTACAGCCCCACTTGTGCACACGTTTCTCTCCTCCACCAGCACAAAAGGCTAATTCACACTGCTGACGTATTGTCTGGCATTCATGTTGCTCCTCCGCAAGAATATTACACTCCTGAGTCACAGCAGTGCATCATACAATCCAGCATGAGTCAAAACAAAGGCCCTGAGGGCAGAACATGAACCAACAATCTCTGTTAGACAGTAGTGACCCCTGCTGGTAATAATGAAAACGAACAACATATATATACAACATTTCTTCTTTTGTTTTGAGCTTGGGCATCAGCGTTGGTAGATTTTGGAGGGTTTTATTTACTGCCATCAACCGGTCAAGTTGAAAGTTAGAAAGGATTGAAAATATTTTCTCATTCGATATAATAGACAGAACAACTGGAACTGCGTAATTATAGGGTTTTTCTTTCATCAGTTTTTTGATTTGTGTTTTTTTTTTGAAATCTTATTTGTATTTTAATTTTGTAATTTAGTCTTTTTTTTATTTTTATTTTTTCTCCTAGGGCTGGAAACGACACGGACATTCCTACTACACTGTGACGAACCATGAACAAAATTTTGAAGATGCGTTGATGGGATACTACTGCAAGGCCCCTCTTCTCACTTTGGGAAACAGGTGATATGTACCTTTTATTTTGACTAACTTATCATGTTATAATGTTTGTACAATTATTTTTTTTATATGCTGTATAGCCTATAAATATTCCCTTAAGAAATTAGTGTAAAAATAAGTATAATAATCAGTATTATTATAATTCTAGTAAAATTATAAATACATATGTATAAAAAAAGATATGTTTTTCTGCCAAACTGAACTCCTCTCATATTCCTAAAACAAGGTTCGAGCAGGCCTGCCAAACTGAACTCCTCTGATATTCCTAAAACAAGGTTCGAGCAGGCTTTTATCAACAGTTTACTGAATGAGAGAGGCGCCAACAGCAGCACGTTTTACTGGATCCGCCTCAACGACATCGGGGACACAGGAGAATACGTCTGGTTTCTTCACAATAGCTCCTCCCTGCCGCTCTCCTACACCAACTGGAACAAACATCAGCCTGGTAGCCAATTATTTTTGGTTGTTGACATGTAGATGTTTTTGTTTTGTTGTTGACATATCACACATTATTTTTTTATCCCCCGTTCCTCAGCCAGTTCTGGCGGGTGTGTCGCAATGTCAGGTGGACCAGCTCTGGGTCACTGGGAGGTCAAAGACTGCAGGTCCTTTAAGGCCTTGTCAGTGTGTGAGCAGAGTGTGGGCAGTTACCATGATCCCCAACTACAAGAGCACCACATTGATGCCCACGCCCCCTGTCCTCCCGGGTGGGAATCACAGTCTGGGCTGTTGGACTGTTTTAAGGTCTTTTCCCTAGTTTTATGTTTTGATTTGAGAGAACACAGTGAACACGCAACCAAAAAACAACATTTTTTACGCTACTTTGTTACTTTCTACTTCATGAATCCTACACCTCTACGTGTTTCTCCTCCAGGTCTTCCACGATGAGAAGGTCCTTATGAAACGCACCTGGGTGGAGGCAGACTTTTTCTGCCAGGCCCTCGGCGCCCAGCTGGCCAGTTTCTACCATTACGAGGAGCAAGCGTTTGTCAAGCAGCTCCTCAGCCACATGTTTGAAGGGTTGGTACCAAACTCTTGCATCTCGTAGACGGGCGAACCCTGCATTTTGTTTTGAAAAAAAAAAAATTCAGTTGGTGATGGAGGAAGCACCTGATATTAAATCTCTGAATAAAGACACAGTATTTCTTATGTAACAGTGCGATAATGCTCCCAATATTTCCTCTTTGCAGACCACAGGGTCGCTGGTTCTGGGTGGGTTTAAACAAAAGAGACCCCGAAAACCCTGGAGCCTGGGAGTGGTCCGATGGTTCTCCGGTAATCACGTTGCATTCAGCCTCAGTAAAACTCCAGGTCTTTAAAACCCTAACTGTCGTGTGTTGTTGTGTTGGGCTTCACTCAGGTGGTGACGTCGTTCATAGAGGACAAAAATGACGAGGACGACAGGAGGGACTGCGCCGTTTACAGTGACCTGACCAATGCTCTGACTCCACAGCCCTGTGACAGCAAACATGAGTGGATTTGTAAGCTGCCCAAAGGTGAGCACATGTGTAACACCGTTCTCTACACCAGTGGTTCCCAAAGTGGGGGGTGAAAATCTATTGCTCAGGGGTCGCAGCAAGTCAAATCAATATACTTTTTAATAAATGTATCTTTATTTGGACCACAGTGGGCAAAATATCTGTGATGGGTAATTGTGCTTCCTTTGTTAAGAATATTTGTTCACCAATGTGGCGTGAGTAGTATCTACAACATACGTGTCAAACTCAAGGCCCGGGCGCCAAATGCGGCCCTCCAAGCCATTTTGTGGGGCCCACAGGAGCTTAAAAAGCATTTAGTAAAGTCCATGCAGCAGAGTTTGTTAACCTAAGTAATTAAATCAATCAAATATAATAATAATAATCAATTGCAGAAACATGCATTAGTCTGTTATGAAGCAGTTACATCTCTACCAGGGTTCCCCAACCTTTTTGTTCCAAGGACTGGTCAGCCAGTACCACCAGTTACTACAGACCAGTACCAAGGTACTGAGCATTCAAGTATATTAGTAAAAATTAAGTACATTTTTTTCACTGTGTTCCACTGTGGCCCAGTACCAAATGACCTATGGACTGGTACTGGTCTGCGGACCAGGGGTTGGGAACCCCTGATCTAGACAGTCTTTGTTTTTCTGTTGTTAACATATGTTTTCTCTACACATCAGGTGTTTATGTTAAACTACAGTTATTGTACAGATGTGGAGCTGCCTTGTGCACATTGAATCTAAGTATGACTTCTGTTGCAGGTGAAAAACTGAAAAAACCTTATTGGTACTCTGAGGGTGAGTAGGATTCCTTCATGCATTACCCAAGAAGTATAAGAAGTATCTGAACATTTTCTTTCTTTAAAATGTGCCTAAAAAAGTATTTTTTACAGAGAGTGAACCCTGGGTGTTTTACCGCGGCGCTGAGTATCTCCTTGCCAAACAGCCGTTTGACTGGGATGCTGTGTCTCTGGCCTGTCAGATGATGGGAGCACATTTACTGTCCATTCACTCCAGGGACGAGCTGCACTTCGTCAAGGATCGCTTACGTCGGGTTTGTCCTAAAATAAAATCACATTTTTTATAAATCTATTTCGTTAATTTGACTTCTAAATTCAGTGCACGTCTTGCTTAAGAGTTTATGGTCACAGTTACTGGATTCATCTTCCCGAAAAATTCACCAACTTTATGAAGCTCAATTTTTAGATTTACTTTTGCACATTTTTCGACATATTTCCACATTAATAGTTGGATTAGTCACAGATAAAATCAGGGATGATGAAAAAAGAAATGTTGAATCGTCTAAGTGTTTCATGATTTCTCAGGCTGATTTAATGAAGATCAGTTATGATCATTATATAGCTAAATCTAAATAATCGAAATGGTTATTCAGATTAAAAAAGTTAATCATTTGAGAGAGTTTAGGTTAAAATCCTAAAAATTCCATGCTGTGATTTTCTTGCCTTGACACAGTCTTACATAACAGCAGCTGTGTAAATGCACACAACAATAGCCGACCCGCACGGTCGTCTCTTCAACAACTTTACTGAGAGTGAAGGGCAGTAACAGACCTTATATGCTGACACTTTTATGCTGCTGATGTCACTGATGTTAATCCACATCAACGAGTCTCTTTTACTGCCCTGGTTTGTGGATGATAACATATTTAAAACAGGTTATATTACAAAAGAATGAAATCACTTGGCACTGCCACGAGAAGGTGAAAATGAATCATCTTTTTTATTTCCTTTCCTCCCTCAGTTCTCTCTGGGCCCAGCTGACTGGTGGATCGGCCTTTCTGTTGGTCAGCCTGGAGACGAGGTCAGGTGAGTGGATCCTTTTTAAAACATTACCTGTCTTTGACACAGAAGGTAACGTTGTCTGAAACAAAATATTGCAAATATAACGTAAGGTTATGCTTTTATATGACAGTCACGAAAACTGTGTTTAACAGTTTGTAATTCTAACCTTGGTCATGAGTTGACCTCCCTTATGTTAGGTGCAGTTAGTTTTATCTCGACTAACTGATTCAGGAACTCCAGACGACTGTTTTGCTTCTTTTACTTTAAAATCCTATTTAACTCCAGTTAGTTTTATCTCGACTAACAGAAACTCCAGACGACTGTTTTGTTTCTTTTACTTTAAAATCCTATTTAACTCGCCGAACGTTATTTGCAGATGGACTGACAAAACCGAAGTGGACTTTCAGAACTGGGCTGTGGACACTGCTAGGAGAAATGGGTTGTGTGTCACCATGTCTTCTTCAACAGGTTAATATGACCCTGTGCTAAAGCACACAGTGATACGAGCAGAAAGTGTTTCCACAGTTGAGAATTTATCTTGTTTTTTTTTTTTCCGTTGTTGTTGTCTTTGTTTCAGGAAAGTGGTCTGTGAAGAAGTGCAGTGATCTCCATGGTTATGTCTGTAAGAGAAGGACTGCGTCTGTGCTGGAGACTCCCAGAGAACCTCACTACATTGGACGATGTCCTGAAAAATGGCTGTATTTTGGACACAAGGTTTGGACTCTAACACAGCTGACTTGATCTCCACTGATTTATATACTTTGTTTAGATTTTGTTCCATGTCGATTATGTTGTTAAACAGCTAAAAATGTGTCCAGTAATGTCTTTATCGCATGAATTTTGTGCCTGCGACATTGATACAGCACGACCGAGAACAATGTAGCACATAAAAATCGCGGCTGATCCAGTGGAGAATTATCCATTTTTTTCTAAAATGGTCCTAAAACTATTATTTATTTACTGCAAATAATTTAATGAATTAAATATACCTCCACTAGGTGGTAGCAGATGGTTATAAAAAATGAAATGAACATGTCTTTCTTCAATTCCTGTGAGTTTATCAGCATTGTGTACAACTAAACAGGACCAGGTTACGCCCTTAGTTGACGAAACTCTCTTGCGTTACTTACATTAGCAGAGCAAAGTCAAAAACCTCACAATAACTCTGCGGAGCAACAACAGGTACACATGTCTATATATACTTTGTACTGCAAAGGTAATACTTTTGCATTTCACTTTTGAAATTGGATTTTACTTTATGAATTGCTCACATTAAATGAACAAGATGCCCTAGGGATTCACTCCGGGTGTTTGTATTTAAACACCCATGACACCAAGCTGATGCTACAAAGGCTGAGTCAACCTCAGTCAAGACTAAAAACCAGGCAAAAGCCCTAATATAAAGGATCCTCCCAATTCAGAACAGCTACTTTACAGCTACTCCAGGCAAAGCACAGAGAAGTGTAAATAAAAAAAAACTTTTTTGTTCCAACCATGAACCAGCATATCTGATTTTAAAGACGTTTTCAGTAAATGCCAGTACTGTAACGAGTAAAGCTTTTTGAGTCCGATTTCTGTCTTGTTGTTTGTGTTGGTGCTAACGAAATCACATCCTCCTCCCTCGGTCTGGCAATGGTAACAGATGAACAAAGATTTCCATTGAATATCCATGTTTTTATGTGGGATGTTTGTGTACGTTGGCAGTGTCTCCTGCTCCACCTCCCCGATGATCCAAAGCAGGGGAAAAGTTGGAAAGATGCTCAGTCCATCTGCTCCTCATTTGAAGGCTCCCTGGTCGCTATAGAAGATGAGATTGAACAAGGTACAGGCAAAAAAAATAAAACATCAACTGATAATTACTCAGCTGTGTTTGTAGACATGTCAGACATTCACTATTTTGTTTCATATCTGCAGCCTATATCACCATGCTGCTCCAGGGCAGCTCTGTGGGGGTGTGGATTGGCCTCGGAGTTGGTGACATGAAATGGACCAATGGGAAAACAGTCAGCTACACCAACTGGTCTCCAGTAGAACCAAAAACCTATCTCACTGTAAGATCTATTGAAATCTAACTAATGCTAATGTCTGTTTAGATATGTTGTGTATGTTTTGCCTGTTTGTTTTATGATATTTTGCGGGAACAGCTTTTTGTTTAAAATCTGATAATAATGTTGCGTTTTAATGAATAACCAATAACTGGGAGGCAGGAATGTATAGGTCACACAGCTCTGTGGGAAATAAGAGAACATAGATATAGATAGATAGATGGATAGATAGATGGATGGATAGATGGATGGATGGATGGATGGATAGATAGATAGATAGATAGATAGCCAGCCCTGTATTAATCACTCAGGAGTTCCCTTTGGGAAATGTAGGAAAAACATGCAGTGGTCTGTTGTGTCTGTTGTGTCTGAGTTATATTAACCTTTGTCTTTTCTACTATTATTTGCGTATGTGAACCTATAACTACACTATTTGTATTAGGTTTTGCTGAGTCATACCCTTATTGTGAAAATTGATTTCTTTGCAACTATGTGTTTAATTTATATTTGTTTGATACTTTTATCTTTATTAATGACTTACTTGAAGCTCCCTGTAATTGTATCCATATAAGTACTGGGCTGCTCAGCTCTTACTCTCTTTTAATTCATCATCGAAAATACATTATTCACTGTGACTTTAAGAAAACTTTTCCACTTTGCACTCAGATGTTGAGTCAAAGTTTTTTGGTTCTAACAGTGGGTAATTTTATTTTATTTTATTTTTTTCATTTTGCAAAAGTAAACTAACATCTGCCCCTGCTGTCTGCTGATTTGCTGTAGGAAGACGATTGGATTGGTGGGTTTAAGGAGCCACTGTGCATCGTTCTGTCCAACAACCACAACTTCCACCTGACAGGGAAGTGGTACGACGAGAAGTGCAGTGAAACTGGTTATGGATTTGTTTGTCAGAAACCACAAGGTAGGAAAAACGCCCTTCCTCTAACCCTTGTTAGCTTTAACCACGTGGGTTTTTCATTTTTTAGGATTGATAGAAACTTTACATAACAGTTTCAGTTGTATTTTCAGTAGTTACTTTCTACTTAAGAGTTCAAAAAAATAAAATAATAACAGCCAAGTAATATTAATGCAAACTGCATGAGAAAGGGGTTAGAGTTAGGGTTAACATCAAATAAAAACCTAATAATATGACTTAGTGCTTTTGAATTTTATATTTTGTAGTTATTTACTGTAGTTAACAAACCAACCAAATACAAAGTCTCAGATAAAATGACTAGCCTCACAATCAGCTGAGGACATCTGCACAATTGAATTGAATACTTTATTTATGTATTTTTATTTATTTCCTTCCCAATAATAAATATTTATATGTTAAATGTGATTAATGATTTCTGTTCTGTTTTTCGAGCAGTGTTAATGCAGTGCGGAGCAACAATAATTTTAATTTTTAATATAATAATTTGCGCCACAGTGGGGGAAAACACATTGATTTCTTTCAAACAAACACATGATGTTTCTTTGTATCCAAACGTGTCGTTTCTCTTGTTACAGACACAACCAAACCCCCCTCCCACTCCTATCACCACCCTCTCCCTGACATTATTGAGTACAGGAGCTGCAGCTACAGGGTCGTGTCTGGAAACATCAGCTGGTACGAGGCCATGCAAATGTGCATAGAGAATGATTCTGACCTAGTGAGCATCACTGATGCCTACCACCAAGCTTTCCTTACTGTGCTTGTCAACAGATTGGCTGTCCCTCACTGGATCGGCCTCTACAGTCAAGACGTATGTGTGTTTATTCAGTTAATGACGTATTCATATTCACACATTCGATTTCGACTAATGCCTCGCGTTTTGTTGTGTTTGCTCTGGGTTCAGCCGGAGAATGTCATTGAATATTCATTTGGATATTTTGGATACATTTTTATGCTCTTATATTGTGATTGCTCAGTGCTGTATTGAAAATGATTTCACTTATTTTCTGAAGATCATCCATCATAAATTTTACAATATAAACTCTTAGTAATTGTCAGTTAATAAAAGGACACACATTGTAGCAGAAGAACTACAGTACTGTGCAAAAGTATTGGTTTTTGAATATCAATAGTGACCCACATAATCTTTGGCCTTGCTTTATAAAAGCTGACATCTTTTATTATCCTATTGCTGCAGAAAAAAAGAAAACATCCCCCCGCATGGGAGCAGCCGAAAAATGAACAATTTCCAGCTGCTTTTTGTTTTCACAGTTATTCTAATCACATCCTGTTTTGCTCAGCACTCCAGCTTCCACTCACATGACTTACCCTCAGATCGCTGCCCTCTTCCTCACAGGCAGGCATCAACTACCAATGGGCAGATGGCAGCGACACAGTTTACACTCACTGGGACCCGGACGATGACGACGACGACAACTATGTTACTGGAGAGTGTGTTTACCTGGATGTAAACGGAGGCTGGAGAAGAGCTGACTGTGAATCTCAGCTGCCGGGAGCCTTGTGTCGTGTCTCTGCACCAAGTCAGTGAAAAATCTGTAGATTTGTCAACACTTAACACTTGTGCTGCTGGGATTCTAGCAAAATACACCAATGACCCCCTTTTGTACTGTCTGCTATCTTTTGTGGAATCCAGGCAACAAGCCTTTTTCATCAGTGGAGGTCGTTTGTCCTCCTTCCTGGGTGAAGTTTGGGCACAGCTGTTACAACTTTGAGACTGTGGTGCAGAAACTGACACTGGAGGAGTCCAGAGAACACTGCAAAAAAAGAGGTAAGGATGCAACGAGCTGGCAGTCAAAGCTCACTGGTTCAATCCCCTTTTGGAAACTGATACGGTTTCTCTGTACAGACATTTCATGCTCTTCCTGTTTATTCAAAGGTTTGGCTTCATAAACTCCAGTTTAAAACTCCCACAGTCTAAAACATGCAGGGTTAGGTTAGTTACTAGTAGGTACGAGTGTGAGTTAAGACGGTCGGTGGTCTCTTTATCTTGTCTGGTAACCTGTCCAAGATGTAGTGCCACTCTAGCCTGATGACTGATAATCGAAAGTCTCAAAATGAAGATGAATGAATGACAAGTATTAATGATCATCATGTCTGAGCTGGCAACTTCCCCTACAGGTGAAATTGAAGATTTGCCAAAAGCTGGTTTAATTAAATAATTGGATTTGACTCCAAATTTTTCTATCTAATTCTTATGTGCAAAATGAACTGCCTTTAAAAAAAAGGTTGGGTGGCAAGAAGTGAATTTTAAAAAATAAAACTGAAAATGTGTCCAGTTCCAGAACTCATGTACAGTACTTTTGTCGGTAGTCAGAAATGTACAAAAATGACAAAATTCTAAACTCTTAATTTTAAATACGGGCGACGTTGTGACCGTTTTTGTTTTTGTTTTTCCTAATTCCAGTTAACACGTCAGATGTTCTCTCCGTTGAAAGTGAGACAGAGAACCGTTTTGTTCTGGAGCAGCTCTGGGCCTCGGGGATCCATCACCAGACTTTGTGGTTGGGGATGCATTTTAACCCTGCCTGTAAGAATCTCACAGTCTAATTAAAGATGTCATTACATTGTACCCGAGACCCGTGGAGGTAAAGTGTGGCCCTCTGTTTTCAGCTGAGTCTCTGGTCTGGGTCGATGGCTCACCGATGGACTACACTAACTGGCCAAACAAAGCTCCAGACTCCAACCTGCTGACTACAGACACATGCGCGAAAACCAGCGCAGCTAATGGTGTGTGGCACCTTACGCAGTGCACGGAGCGATTCGGCTTCGTCTGCAAAACCATCTCAGGTGAGTCCAAGCATCGGAGTTTTGATTGTAAGCGGCTTCATCAGGAACCGTTGCATGAAAACAAGTTAAACAAATGTTTCATTCTATCACACTGACCTTTCAACACACACACGGACAGATAGATCGGTTATAAAGCTGCATCTACGGCTATCGGCTCTAGTTTTAAAAAATTCTGCTGCTGAACTGAAACGTGATCGGCTCTAGTTTTCAAAAATTCTGCTGCTGAACTGAAACGTGCTCATTTTGTGCAACATTATATATATTTAATGTCTATAAGACAATTGTAACATTGTACATTCTCATATATAATCTATTTGATGACATCATCGTGTATGTTTTGTTGTAGATGTGATTACTGAGGTGGAAGTGGAACCGATAAATGGTAATGTATTGCTTTTGACTATTGTCTCTCAACAAAGGACCGGTTAATGTTTTTTTTATAACAGTTATAAAGAGATCATACATCATCATAAATTACAGGTAAAGATACATACTGTATATGAGCTTTGTGTTATTGTGTGTTTCAGGTTTACATCATGGAGTCATCGCTGCTGCAGTGCTGGTGGCTGTGATCATTTTCACGCTGCTGGCAGGAATAACGTGGTTCGTCTACAGGAGGAACTCAGCACGTTTTGGTAGACTGCACTTTCTGGGCACTGCTTACTACAGACAGTCAGATTCATTGTCTTTAGAATCAGATGGAAACGTGCTGATGACAGACCTGGAGAATCACTCAGGAGAATAGCACTGAGGACTAGAGTCTGCCTTAGAACTTCACTGTCTCGTCACTATTTCACCTTCCTATAAGTCACACTGACTGGTACGCTGACGCCTCAGGACTATAGTCAGATGAAGATGAGAGATGTTTTTGCTTTTTTTTAGAAGGTGCTGAACAATCCCTCTGTTTTCTTGCCTCATTGTTTCTTGTGTTGATATTGAAGGAATTGTATTTGTTTTTGGTATTTTTGGGGTAAAAATTTGAAAATAAATATAAGGAATTCACATTCTATGGGAATATAATTTGAACGAATGTTTTATTGGAATATTTAACATTGTAACAAAACAGCTCTTGATCAACCTACAACAATAAACTTACAGTTGTAACCAGCACAGTTACAAAACAATACAAATGTTTTATGTGTAACAGTATTCTAAATATCACAATTCAGTATTCTTATTTCTTACATATAAAATTGCTGTATGTATTTGTGAATATTTTTTTTAAATAATAGAGAATGTTGGTCACACAGGAACAATTGATGACTTTTATTGTATTTTTATTGTATTGTTTTTTTTTCTGAGTCTCAATAATTAAGGTCATGTTTCAGCACATTGTGTAAGTCAGTTGTCCAACTGTGTTTTGTACAAATGTCCTTATTTTGTAATAAACTGAAAGATCTGTACACCATGTGGAGAAATTGCAGCAGGTTAGATCACATTACAGTTTTGTAAAAGTTAAAAAAGTTTTTCTTCTAACTCCTAAAACACCATATTTTATGCTTAAATTGACTTTTTTGCCTTTAGCATATTAGTTTATACGTTGTTCTGTTGTCTTTTTATATTTATTTATTACTAATTTGATATTTTAACCGTTAATAATAACACGAGATTCGCCAGTTTCTTTATTGTGTATTATAATTTTGAAGGTGTAGCACGGGATGTTATCGCTCTTTATTTTGAAAGTCCAACCGGATATATCTCGTATTACTTGTTACATGTGCGAACTTGACAGCTGGGAGTAGGGCAGTGAACTACAACGCCGCTGACAGTATAGGAGGATTCGGCTACATGTTTGGGTACTGCGCACTTTCGCTTTAGAGCCAACCCAAAATACGTAGTTGTTTATAACGAAGCTTCTTTATGACTCCGACCACAAGACTCAGTCATGCCGAAATTAACCGTGGGCACTGTTCGTCTTGTTTTTTTGTCGTTCGTGTTGGAGACGGTAGTTTTATATGGAAGTTGCTCACCGGCTTCCAACCTCCACGACGTGGGTGAGTATTCATTTATGGTGAAGCTGCGACGGTTTACTTTCTCTTTCATGATAACCATGACTTAGCCATTTCTGCCACTCACTCACTCACTCTCACACACGTTTAATCGCACACATGCGCATTGTAGATAATAATAACTACACACAATGACGACATAAACTGTTAAAAAACAGTAGAGGCAAAAAACAAAAAACAACTAGCTCCGTGGTTGTGGTATACACTCCCTAGTTCTATTATGCAAAATAAACCACTAACATAATTTTAGAGCGGTTTCCAACATTTTCCAATCTTTTCTTCCTTATTATCCCAGTCCATTATTCTGGCTTCTTCTCTGTAACCTACAGTTTACTTGACTTTTTAGTTAGAGATTTGTGACGAATATACAGTAACAAGACTTCCAACCAGACTTCTTTGAACAATTTTCAAATAGTATCGAATATTCAACAATATTGCTTCATTGTTAATAAAGGTTAGTTGAGGGCAGGTTCCAGGGTTCTGTGACAGACCTATAGGAGTTATAGGAATTCTATTAGACTGTGAAAACCTGTTTTGATGTATGGCGACCGTCCAAAAGACAGGACTCAGAGCTGGAGGTGAAAGAGATGAAGATGGAAAAGGTTTTTTTAACGTGAGTGACCAAGACGGACAGGATTAGAAATCAGCAAATCACACTAAGAGCTAAGTTTAGACAGTTGGGAGATTAAGTTTGTGAGGTGTGGTGGTTTGGACATGTCCTCAGTGGAATGATGGAGATGGAGCTGCCAGGCATGTGGACAAGAGAAAGACCCCGGAAAAGATTTATAGATGCAGCAAAGATGGCTGTTGTAACACTAGAGGAGGCAGTGATACAGTGTCAGATGATCCACCGTGATGTCCCTGAAGGGATCAGCCGAAGGATTTTGGTTCATTATTTTGTAGAAAATCAAATCACCACCCAGGACAGAGCTTTGCTGCTGCTTCTCGTTTTTCGTATTCTGCTCTTCATTCATAGTCCATTTCACCTTGGAATCATTACCTTTCTTTATGCGCTCAAGTTTTCCCACAGCATTAACCTTCCAACCGTCAAGTTTTCTATTAGCGTAGTGTTGTTCGGGTTGCATGTCCTCCCCTGCCTTGATTTCTGAATCCAGGTAATAATATTTGATTTCCTGTACGCACACAAAGAGTAAGAATAATAGTGAAACTGATGTTGTGGTTTCTGAACTTTGTGTAGCAAAGGTAAGAAACAAATACATCCTCTAAAGATATGTAAAAAGTTCTAGTCTCTGCAAGCCGTCTTACATAAGCCTCTCACGCTTCCTCTGTTCCACCAACAAAATCAATGTGATTGTTCTCGTTCTTATGTCTTTTTATCGTGAAGTGCTACGCCATTTTGCACGTTGGCATGTAACTCACAATTCTACCCTCCCCCAATGACATTAAGTAAATCCAGTAAACGCAGTAATTCCAGTAAAGACACTATGGTCATACTGGTCATGTACTGTAATCCTCCTCTGCCACTGCTTTGTATGCATCATGTCTGGTATCTAGTCGTGTGTAGTAGAGAGGCTCAGAATAATCGTAACTTCCATTTCCATTTTTTTTTTTTTTACTGTGTCATTAGACATATAAATCAGAAGTTTTTCCAAGGACTACAATTGAATTTTCAGTTCAGTGAATGATCATAGGAAACAGACTCGAGGCATTTCAAAACACAGGAAGTTCACATTTTCGTAACATCAGCTGTAGGTTTGTCACCACCTGACACCTGACGACAGTTCTGAAGATGTGTGGGAGATTCGTGTTGATGATTCATAACTTAAATTAATCATTATTTGAGATAAATCAATGTTTCTGAATGTGAGAACACATTTTAAAAAATGTCTATATAGCGGTCAAACAGAAAGACAAATAACAGCAGGAAGTTGTGTTTCACACCTATTCACACCATCTTGACCGTAACTTTCTTGTGCCTGCAGTGCGTGCGGAAAACAGTGTGTGTATTGACTGTATTTTAGAGCAACGATAAGTGGATGGACCATAAAATTATTTATAAGCTGTACAGTGCGCATCATGCAACCAACACTCTAATTTCGACGTTTTATTCTGTTCTTTTATGATCGCCCGGTATCTTTTCCTCTTCCTCACCTTCACAGGCGATGATGCGTTCACCATCCAACATCTTGGCACAGGACAGTGTCTGACAATGGGGACTTCCAAAGGCCTGACGCTCACCACCTGTGATTCCAAAAACATTACTCAGCTGTGGAAATGGGGATCACGCCGCCGACTCTTCCACCTGGCCACGGCGTCCTGCTTGGCCCTGGACCTCCACACCAAGGCTGTCTCCCTGATGGACTGCAACACCAACTACTTATTGTGGTGGGGTTGTGTGGACGGCGCTGTGTATACCGTTTATCAGATGGGTCTGGCGGTCACTGATGGCAAAGTGGGAACCAAACGAGACACTAATGATACTTGGGTTAGAGGAGAGACCCAGGAGAACATCTGTCAGAAGCCGTACCGTGGTGAGTGTGGTTTCCTCTGAGCATTCTGGGATGTTCGGCTCAACAAAACAAGGGCTCCCTGCTGCCTTCCAGTACTTTGAAGACTGACAGGACTGATTAGGAAAAGGAAGAGGTTTCCAAAGTGCCTGCAATAGCTTCAAAATAAATGAAATGTTTTTATCTCTCCTCTGCAGTTTGTAGTGAATGATCGAGCATTCAATACTGCATGGTAGTCCACTTCCTGAATATAAATTGTGTTAATGGTTTGTGTCAGAAAACAGGAACGACCGTGACTCATAAACAGGTTCTGGTACATTTCAACAGCACCGACGGTCCTGTCAAACCTTGACTTAGAGGCCCACGCTCATTGAAATCTCGGGGAGTGTTGTCACAAGAAAATGAGAACAGACTGAGACAAACGGCTGTTTTGGCTCAGGCTGCTTTTTGAAACTTGCGCTTCGATGAAAATTCTAGTTATTTGAATGTGTCAGTTAAAAAACTGAAGAACTACAGCGGAAAGGAAATGAAAGAAAACTAAACACTTAAACCTTTATGCAAACTTCTCCCAGGGGAAACCCAGGGATTCTGGGGAATTTATCAAGTGTCTTACCAGTACTTGTATATCTGAGTTTCACATTCGAGGCTGTTGCTCTCAGCAATTTATAGGAAACGTCAGCGTTAAATATTTTTGAAATGAAACTGTTTTAGTGGGGAGTCTTGAAAACATACAGTACATTAATCAATGCTGCAAGATTCCTCAGCTTGGGAAAACATGCACATCCCTCACTTCTTCTCTCCTCTGCGCAGTCGTCCACACCGTTGATGGGAACTCAGCCGGCAAGCCCTGTGACTTTCCTTTCAAGTTCAATGGCAGCTGGCATCATGGCTGCCTCCCCGACCCGGACTCGCCCGAACTGACCTGGTGCTCCACCTCCTCAGATTATGACCAAGACAGGCAGAAGGGGAACTGTCTCACACCTGGTATGTAGCGGTATCTAAATCTTACGTAACTAACATTGTCATCTGTGTAACATTTGGGAGATGTATTGTATTCTTTTTCTTGGACTTGGCAGAGGAAGGCTGCCAGACGCACTTCTCAGGTCCAGAAGGAGAGTTCTGTTATGAGTTTGTCACCAATGCCGAGGTGAGTTGGCAGGAAGCTCTGGATTCATGTCGCAGCCAGGGAGCCGATCTCTTCAGCCTGTCCGGCCCCAATGATCTCCACTCCAAAACATGTAGGAATGATTTAATTCATGATAAACTACTTCCTTGGAGTCTCTGCCTTTGAATATTTATATAAAGCTGAGCTGAGGGGGAGGGAAGCTAGCTCCACAGGTCTTGTGACATTGCATGCCCCTTTTTTTTTTTTTTAGAAACTGTTCCAGCTGGTTGTTGTTGATAACAGTAATGATCGGGAAATGTACCATCTGTTATTGGAAAAGTCACGGAGTCACTGCATTGAAAGTAAAAAAAAAAGAATTTTGATGAACATTTTCCTATTGGAAAGTAGTAAACGAAATTGCTAAACTGCGATGACTTAAAGTGAGAAATGGCATCTCGAGCTGCTTCACATGGTACCTCTGCAGACTTCCTGTTCATCTTTCTCCAGGTCTGTAAGACACGATCACGTGAACAGAGATTGGAAAACAAGTCAGACACGTTTATGTAGGTGGTTCAGTTTAGGACCTTAATTATGGCATAGTTATAAAACAACGTGTGTTTGTTATCCCACTCATTATGTCTGGACGTCACAAGTCACATCATTGATGCAAATATTCTTGGTGACGTGTTAGCCTTTGGCTGTCGCTAAGAACTAAAAAAAAAAAAAAATCTTAAAAAAAAAGGAAGAATGAGACAAACTGTGGTTTTCTCTCTGATCAAACCGCTGCTACGCATATCATGTTTCCCTTCACAGAGAAGTATGATATTTATATCACACCAAGTAAGATCACACCAAATGATCATGGGATGAACGAAATTTAGCTACCCTGGTCCCGGATCACGCCCAAAGTTACAGAGAAATGACACAATGAAAATTGCTACAGAGTTCAAAAGAAAATAAAGTGTAGATGGTGCAAAAACGACAAGAATCACATATAATATTAAGTCATGTATTGCATGTGAAATGGCTATAAACATTATAGCATGACATTACATTTCTCCAGTGCGGTCTGTTTTTAGTCAAAAACAGAACCGAAACATCAACACACAACTGTGTTTAATTTTATTTGATAAACCTAAGTGCATTTAAAACTCAAATGCCTAGAACACTTTTCAGAAACGTTTAACAGGTCAAATAATCCAGTGTTTCGCAACCTTTTTGAGCCATGGCACGTATATATAATCAGGGAAAAAAAATTCCCACGGCACACCACTAAACAAAAATCTTACAAAAAATATATGTGCTGTATATGTAATGAAATATAATGATGTTCTAGTTTAAATGACCCCATAACTGACTAAAATCACAGCCTGTTTAGTTGAAGACAACGCTGATATACTGGCAGGAATTGAAGAAAGACACTCACAAAGATCTCCTTTAACAGCTCTGATTATCTTTGGTTTTCATAACCATCTGCTGCCACCTAGCAGATGATGATTTAACTGTTCTGCCTTGCATTCTTTGTTAAGCAAAGGATGCAGTAAATAAATAATGCTTTTTCAGACCAATTAAGGATCATTTAAAGACCTAATGATCTCTCACGGCACACTAGTGGTTGGGAATCAGTGGAATAATCCATCCAAGTATTTATTTTGAATTTTTATAAGGAGCATCCAACAACATTTGGCCACTCAATCAAAACGTATGACAGTACAAAAATCATACCTCTCTGTATTTGAACCCAGTTGCATTTTCTCTTGCTGATTCAGATGACGCTGATTACGTTGTAATTTCTGTCATTAACCTGTCACGGCCACTCTGCTGCGTTGTCGTGCAGTTTTAGACGGCCTTGGCCAGATGCCCGAGCGGATGTGGATCGGTCTTCACCAGTTGGACACGTCTCAGGGCTGGCAGTGGTCTGATGGCTCCTCTCTGTCCTTCCTGCGTTGGGAAGAAGGTAATGGCTGTTAACTCCACTCCACTCAGGAGCGCTTGTTTTCGTCCACCTTGATCCACCAGATAGGATAGTCATCAAATTCAGAAAAATATTTTTTTATTCATTAAACCGCACTGTGAAATTTCCACTAGATAATGTTGACATTTGACCTTTCTCTTTCGTCTAAATAAATTGAATAATGTAATTGATCAGACAGTACAGACACAATCATCACAAACTAAAGATTCAGTTGCTGAAAGGCCACATCCTGTTATGGTGTGCTCTTTCCCCGTGCTGCAAATTTTATCAGTCAGACAAACAATGGGGTCAGTGTTACAACTAAAGATGCTCTTTGTGCGTCGTTGCATCGTACACTGTGGCTTCAGAGTCGTTTGTGTCGGTGACTTATACTGTTATCTGTTTTCTTTCTGACTTTTGATATAAACTCTAGATGTAGTTCACAGATTTTTTTTTTTCTCTGCTGTATCCTTTTTTTTTTTTCAAGACAACAAGTGGTGAATTATTCCACTTTTAACGACGACATTGTGTGTTCTCCTTTATAGAAACGCCAGACTCCTCGCTTTTGGCCTCAGACTGTGGAGTTCTGAACTCCAAACAGAGCTTTGGCTCTACGGCGTGCAGCGAAAAGCTGCCATACATCTGCAAGAAAAGAGTGCACCGCCCCCAAGCAGCTGAGACGGGTACGGTCGCCTGCTGCAATCCACGCTTAGATACAACTACTTTGCTTCATGTCTGAGTTCGTAGGAATAATTGTAGGAACAACGTTGTGACAAAATAACAAAATCCACAATGACCCAAAGAGACTCTAAATACTTATTTAAAATATGTGTTGAAGTCATCTCCACCTGTCCCCGTTCTCTCCGCAGAGCCCTCCATATACAGGGAAACGGTGTGTTCTGATGGCTGGGTCCCGTGGAACGGCTGGTGTTACATGTTGGTGAAGGATGAACCTCGGAACTTCATGGATGCCCAGCAGTTCTGTAACAAGACGGCTGGATCACAGGAAGGCTTCCTGGCCAGCTTCCACTCTCTGGAAAGCAAGGAAATGATCAGCACTAATTTCCATTCAGGTAACGCTTTCATTTTAAACGTCTTTTTATCGTAACAGCTTTGATGAATAATTTTTGGTATCGGCCATTCTGTCTGTCTTAAAAAGTAAATCTCAGAATCTGACGTTCTATTTCTGGTGTCTTCAGCCGGTGTCTATCTGGATGTGTGGATCGGTCTTATTGGTATAAACACCAATCCAACAACAGTCTTCAAGTGGATCAACCAGGCACCAGTCAATTTCACCTACTGGGGACCAAATGAACCGGTGCAGCCCAGTCAGGATACCAGCTGCGTCTTCTACTCTGGAGAGGTGTTTTATTGCTCTATTATATTATATTATATATATTTAGTGTTATATTTATTATATATTTATATATAATTATTATATCTATATGTTATACTTATTATGTATAAGTATGTTATATTTAAATATGTATATATATATATACATATATGTATATATGCATATATATGTATATATACATATATGTATATATGTGTTAAATATGTTATATTTATTATATATTTAGTGTTAATATATTATATTATATATTATATTTAGTGCTCAATTGTCTTCAGTCTTTCTCCTCCGTCTATGTCCATGTGCTTCATGTTATATATAGGCTTATTTATACCCGTGTCTGTTCTCCTCAGTCTCATGGTTGGAGGGTCGGGAATTGTTCTCTCAGACTTCCTTTCATGTGTCAGACAAAAGGAAACGTCAGCACAACGGGCACACAGACGGGATGTCGCTCTGAAGATGAGGTATTGTCCATATGACCCGCCGTTCTTGAGTAACGCTGTTGGTCGGATGTTATCTTACTGTGCGTCCTATACTTTTGCTATGTCTGAAACTGATATTTGTTCTACACGCACGGACAATGCATAAGGAACATCCCAGTAGAAAAGATTAGAACAAAGGATATAGATCTTAGGTCAGAGAGAGTGTGTGTGCAAACCAGTTGTGTTGCTGCACACGCTGAGCTGAAACGCTAATGGAAATACATCAACAGTGTGCATTATTAAACATGAATCAGGGTCTGCTCTGGAGCCATCGCTCGTGTGTTGTAAATCTAAAAAGTATTCGCTCCCCAGGGTTGGAGGAGACACAGCAACTCCTGTTATCAAGTCAACGTCAAACAGGTGTCTTTCAAAGATCAATGCAATGTGACTATAAGAAACAGGTGAGAGCTATTTTTTCTTTTTAAACTGCTCTTGAGTCAAGTTGATTCTCAGATGATATATTTCAATATTTTCCGACATAAAACCAAACACAGTTTCGTTGTATTTGCAGGTTTGAGCAGGCCTTCATCAACCGGTTACTGAGGGAGCACATCAGCAAAGAACCTCAGTATTTCTGGATTGGCCTGCAGGACATTAAAAACACAGGGGAATACCAGTGGCTGAGTGAGAACGGATCGTCGACTGATGTTGCGTACACAAACTGGGGCCAGATTGAACCACGTAAGTACATTCATATTCATCAAATTATAAAAAAAAAATTATATATACATCGTATAAAGCAGTACTTCATTTTTTTCAAAATGTTGATTTCTCTTTGTTTTTCAGAGCACAACGGAGGATGCGTGGTCATTTCTACAGCGCGGCCCCTCGGCAAGTGGGAAGTGAAGAACTGCACCGTGTTTAAGGCCGGCACTATTTGTAGAACAGATCTCAGTCCGCCTCCACCACCAGAGCCTCAGCCAGATCCCACTGTCTCGTGTCCTGGTGGATGGGTGTCCAGAGAAAACATGAAATACTGCTACAAGGTCTGTATGTGCCTGTGCTCGGTGGAATTTGGTTTACGTTTGTGCCAGAGGACTGAAGGCTCACTGACAGATGCAGCCACTATTGTCAAATAAATAACCATGGTGTCTATTAAACACCAGTAGACAGATGGTTAAATACTAAGTACCAGTTTGTGATTGTTGTAATGCAATGACCCTGCAAAACCAGGCTCTGGTTCACAGTAACAGAAGGTGGATTACAAGTACTGTTGAGCTTGAAGTACACTGACAGTTGTACTTAATTTGTTTGGACCATTGTTACCTAATAGTCCATAGTCCACCTCTGCTGAATGGACATGAAGACAAACCATCAATCACAAGAGGGGCAAGGTGTTGGATCAGCACTGACCTGGGCCCACTACTGCATCTCAAACCATAGGGGAGGGGCCTAAATCCATCGCAGTGCTCATTCCCATTTCTGTAGTGTAGGCCGCTTTCATAGGTATGCTCAAATGATTAGCCACCAGATGTGAAAAAACAGTGGCGTTTGCGAGTTTTTGAAATCAAAGTTATTTGAAACCATATAACTCCTAGTGTACTTACAGTTCTACTACTGTCAAGTGGTTTTATTATGTTGCTCGAACTCCCCTCCCCCCACGCCCCCCCTCTCCCCGACCTTTAATGGTCCGGTGGATCACATACCGTCCTGACATTTTTGTGTGTTAGCAAAAATGCTGTAATGTAACCATTTTTCGGCGTCTTTTCTCAGGTTTTCCACGATGAAAGACTGAGCAGAAAACGCTCATGGGAGGAGGCCGAGAGGTTCTGTCAGGCTCTGGGTGGTAACCTGCCCAGCTTTGCGGGTATCGCTGAGATGAAGGCCCTGCACAGCATCATAAGAGAAACCATTAGGTAATAAACGTACAACTGATAAGGAGAGAAAAAAAAAAACGACACGTATTTCTAGTTGATTGTCAACGGATAGCCGGACGAAGAGAAACCATTAGCATCTAGAGCTTTTCATTTCACATTTTAATTCTAAAAACGTACAGTTACTCATCGAACGAATCACCGTGTGAAACCATTGAGTTCATTTAAAGCTTGGCGTAAACGCTTGTCGTTTTTACTGACTCGTATTATCACAGATCTTTGTCAAAGAATATAAAATATATATTTGCTAAATAATTATGTAGGATATATATATATTTGTAATGATCTGTTCCTCTCTCCAAAGAATAGCAGTACTTTATGTGTAAAATGAGGGATGGTGATTTATGTGTTCCCTGTTGCAGTGATAATCGGTACTTCTGGGTCGGCCTGAACAGAAGAAATCCATCGGATAGTTCCTGGGAATGGAGCGACGGACGGCCTGTGAGTAATGCAGTGACTGTATGTATTGTAGTGTGGTAAAGTACAGAATGGTTTAGTATTATATTGTATAGTATACCACATGTGTGTCGAACTCAAGGCCCGGGGGCCAAATGCGGCCCGCCAAGCCATTTTGTGTGGCCCGCAACAGAGTTTCTTAACCTCTAGTCTGGATGACCTATTATTTTAAAATATTGCCAGATTATCTCTTAAGTAAATGTATATATATATATATATTCTTTTTTCTGATAAATCTAAGATTTAAGAAAGTATTTGTCATTTGCTGTTGTTTTTGTATCTTTTTTTCTTTTTTCTGATAAGTCTAAGATGTAATTTTTTACAATTTGTCATTTGCTGTTGTTTTTGTATCTGGGCAGAAAAGTGATTCATTAGGTTGATCTTATAAGAGTGTCTTCATTTAATGTGTCCCCCCAGGTAACAATAAAGGTGTTAAACAGTGATTTTCACGAGGACGACGCTTACAGTCGTGACTGCACTGCCTTCAAGGTAAGTTGACAAGATTCATGCCGTGGAGTATCTATGGGTTTGGACACTTTCATCATATATTATAAACTGTACTAAAGCCAGGTTTGATTTAGTGAGGAGATCTTTCATAGTTAAACCATTAGCATGGTTTATCACATTTTTATCCTTAAAGAAGTAGCTTCCAAAATGTGAAGCGTGACTCGTGTCTCGCCCACACATCTGCATCTGTTTATGAGTAGCCATGTTTGTTAGTAGAGTTGGTTTACAGCTGAACTCTGCCCCATTATAAACGATGACTCTGGGAATTTTTTTTTTATCTTGAAACTCTTCGTCTTTTCCAACAATGCCATGGTCTACTCTTTTTATTACTTAGTCAACATGTAACTTCAGGAGACAGATTGTTAGAGCCTTCGCAGCTCATGTTTGAACTCTATTTTTTAACACCTCGTCTCCCTCATCAGACAATGAAGAACACCCTGAAACACCTTTTTATGTTTCTGCAACACGACGTTTCCCTCCCGCCTTTCTTTGCCACGCCATTCCACTGTGACGCCAGGCTGGAGTGGGTCTGTCAAATAGCCCGGGGTAAGATCCCAAAATATGTTCAAGTTGAAGTGCATGCTGCACAGAGAAATGTCAGGGGGTCTCGACCTCAAATACCAGTGAAGATATTGTTTGATTAACTCAGATTTTTTAACTTGATTCAAATTCTCCCTAGTATTGATGTACTTAAAAATAAACTGCCATATTTGGATGTGGTTTTTTTTTTATGAAGTTCAACTAATGCCTCGTTTCTAAATCCTCCAACAGGGAAAACTCCAAAGACCCCAGAGTGGTACAATCCTGGTAAAGTTGAAATCTTCAAATCTGCTGTTTCTGTTATTTGGCAGTTTTTGTTGAATTGTTTAGAGTTTTGTCATTAACATTGACAGTGTTGACAGCACGTACATTTTTAGCAAAGAACTGCATTATGGGATTAACTGGGTCATAGTTGACCTCAATTATTTTCTGCTGGACATAGAGCATTTTTCAGATGGAGGTAATCTCTATTTCTGGTATTATTCAATTAAAACTGTGTGTATTGGTATAAAAAATATTAGATATTAAAGTTGGAGCTCCTTTTTTTTTTTTTTTTTCAAATGATCTGGAACCATAATGATCATTTGTACCTGTTTGGTGCTGTTATTTGACTTCAAAAATTCAACTCTCAGTATTAGAATCCCTTTGTGTTTGTGCATGTTTTTCCCTGCACTCATTGCCAGTACAGTCAGAGAGGACATATGTGCTGTGTCTTTCAGGTGGTCACCATGAGTCGTCCATCTTTGTGGACGGATCGGAGTTTTGGTTCATCAGGGAGCCAAAACTATCGTATGAGAAGGCCGAGCTATTTTGCAACGCTAACGGCAGCAAACTGGCCGAACCAACAGGCACAACGGCGGCCATAAAAATCTTCCAGTACATAAAAAATGTATGTAACTCGGTGGCTTTGCTGCTCCATAATTCACTTTTACATAAAAAAAAGTCCATAGTTGTACTTTATGCATTAAGAGTAAGTGAAGAAACTAGATCAGTGTTAGCAGCAAGCCTGTGAACGTAGGTCAGTATGAGCTTCATCACAGTGGACTTACTTCAAAACATTATCGCCGAACTAACCCTTAGTCATCATGACTACGCAGTTTAAACACATTTTTGTAAACAAGTACAAATGATGACTAAGGTACGTTTTATTGATGACCTGAAGATTAGTCTGAGTTCCCTGCCATGTTGTTTTAGCTTTTTTCCTGTTTACATACTTCTTCACCCACGAGCATCTGTAAAAGATTTTCAGAAAGAGTGGAAATTTTCTTCCACAGAATCTTGGTCATGGAAAAAAAAAGATTGTCTCATGAAAATGTACTAAATGAATAATGAAAATAAGATTCTAGCCTCAAAACAAACCGCTAGAAATACTCACATAAAATCACAAAATCCAGCTTTCTCTTGTGTAGCATGTGGTTAAACTTTTTTCTATAAATGCACAATTATTTTTACATTTTTGAACATCTGTTGACTTTTAGTCCTTAGATTTTGCGAAACTGAATAATTAACTCAATAATCATGTTTCTGTCATGTTTTACAACAGTGGTTCTCAAACTTTTTCTACTCTGTGCCACCTGAGAAAACATTGAGATCTTCGAGTACCACCATGATGACCAACATTAGAATTCCCCTGCTCGTTCCACGTTCAACTTGCAAGTGATCCCATGATTCCGTGCTGCCTGTGCCTACCTGAGCAAAAGACTTGCATTGCAGCAAAAAAAAAAAAAAAACAAAAGAAAAAAAATAAAAAGACCAGACATCCTATTTCATAATCTCACAAGTAGCTACACTTTTTTTTTTCTAAATTCTGCATGGTATCTTTCAGATTTGTTCAATTGCAAATGTAAATGTAAAAATAAGAATTTTCCCCACGTACCACTAGAGGGCGCTAGCGTACCACCGGTGGCACACGTACCACAGTTTGAGAACCACTGTTTTACAAGAACCTTTATAGTTTTTTTTGTTTGTTTTTTTTTTTTGTTTGTTTTCATGCAAAATTTCAACTGTCTAAATAACATTTCCCCTTTGCTTTTTTTCCATGTGAAATCACAAACAGATTTCAAATGACTCTAAACAAAACTGGTGGCTGGACTTGTCGAAGCCGAGCAGGATATTTCCCATGACGTAAGCTCTCGTAGTGAAACACGAACGCAACAACAGAAAAGGGAATTCTATACTTTAAGTGTGTCCCGTGTTATGTGAAATGTCTTCTGAAACCACGTGTCCCGCAGGTACACCCAGATGGTGTATTATCACTCAGCCTTCCTGGGCCGGTGCCTTTCCCTCACTCCTGAAAGCCCCTTTCCCAGTGAGTACTTTAGATACATTTAAAATGAGTCGGAGTTCAGTCAGATCCAGACAAGAAGAACCCCGATAGATGCCTTGACTAACTTGCACATTCGCTGTCATGTGTCTGCGTCCAGGTCATGAAGTCAGTTGTCAGCAGCGATTGCCTTTTGTGTGTGAGAGACACAACATCACTCAAGTGGAGAGAGACCCTCTGGAGCCTCGACCTGAAGGTCTGCCCTGTGGAAACAGCTCTCTGTCCTTCAGGAATAAGGTAAAGTAGATAAATAGATTTTTTTTTTTCTTCGAAATTGTCAATTCATTAAATCGACAAAAGGAAGAAAGTATAAGGCCAGATTTTGGTCTTGTACTGATCCTGATGTAAACGTTCTCCGATATCCCTCATTTCAGTGCTACACTATAATGACCAGCTTAAAGCCCGTGTCTTTCAAATATGCCAACGAGGAGGAGTGCCAGTCAGTGAGGGGAACCCTGGTTACTATATCAGATCAGGTGGAGCAAGGTGAGAGAAAAAAAACATGACAGTCAGGAAGTAACAGAAAAAAAACCATATCGAACGCAACAATGTTTATCGTCTCCGTCTTGCATCTTAGATTTCATCACCACACTTTTGCCGGGAATGAGAAGCATGGAGAAAATATGGATTGGTCTGAAGATCAGAAGAAACGACCCCGAATGGGTGGATCAATCTCCGGTCGACTACCTCAACTTCAACCCCCTGCTGATGGGCATGCATAAGGCGATAAAAGTAGATGTAAGTTCATTGACTCCTGCTCCTCTGGAAGACATTATTCTGGAAGATATTTGTAATTTTTGTATGTAATTTCTCTCTTTTTTTTTTTTTTTTTTTTTAATCAGAAATGGGATCCGGAGGGTATGGATCTGTGTGCGTATTTAATAAACAACCAAAACTCCGCAATGCTGGGCACCTGGGACTACACTTCCTGCACCCAGTCTCAAAATCTGGCTATATGCCAACACTATGCAGGTAAAGCAAAGCCGTGCGTGCGTGGTCACTTGTCATCTTATATTATATTTTATATGTGTATATGTAGCGGATTTTCTTGCAGCGACAGAAATTGTAATTAGATAAGCCATGGGTAAAGGTACCGTTTCCTAGGACAGTAAAGGCATCACTAACACGAGCCAGAGTGGTTTGTTTATTTCAATCCGATATATTTGCATCCGGTGCCATATTTTGTCAACATTCACAGTGTACATTTCCGACGTGATGTTGCCTCATCATTTTCCCCTCTGTTTTATATTATCCGCTGATCACAACGGACACCCTCTAGATACGAGCTTCCCGAAATACGAGGATTCCATGTTGCGAGTCTGCAACTATTGCAAGATTTTTCTTGTCATATGAGAGACTATCTAGTTACGAGTGCTCAACCGAGCTCCATTTTTCCACGCGAATTTGAAAAAGTGGCCCTCGACACTCTCTCTCTTTCTCTCTCTCTCTCTCTCTCTCCCAACAGATTGTCTCACTGTCTCGCTGGATTATTTTATAACAATGATTTCAAATGTTTTCTTAATTATTATTATTATTTTATATCATCAATATTTGTTTATGTCTATGTTTTTGATGTTTAGATGGGGGATTTTAATTTAATAAATTCATTGGTTTTTAGTTATTTTTAATGGGGGAAAATTCAATCTAGATACGAGCGGATCGAGACACGAGTGCTGTTGTGGAACGGATTCAACTCGTATCTAGTGAGTTCACTGTAAATGTTTCACATGTACCACTACATGGGGCAGTGGTGGCTTAGTGGTTAAGGAAGCGGACATTGGTCCAGAGTCCACCAGCTGCCAAGTTACCTCTGAGCATGGCACCGTCCTTACACTCAAAGCTGGTCCCTGTTGACTTTTGTGATGGCTTAAAAGCAGAGGTCATATTTGGTTGTGTGCAGTGTCATAATGACAAGGGCTTCACTCTCCTTTCCTTTCCTTTCCTTTCCTTTCCTTCCTTCCTAAATACCTTTTATAACTGTCGTGGGCTGCACCTTTTACAGATAAGGTAGAGGAGCCCCACGTGGACACACAGCCCTTCACTGCTGACAACCACACCGTCCAGCTGCTTGTCAAAAACCTCACCTGGTATGAAGCCTCGGAGGAATGTCAAAACCTAAACATGGACCTGGTCAGCGTGTCGGACACGTTGTTCCAGGCCATGCTCAGTGTCCGCGTGAGCCGCGCACGCACACCGATGTGGATTGGTCTCTTCAGCGAAGATGTGAGAGAAGTCATAAACAACAACATCAACAAATTAAAAAACTTGTACTTTGTCTAGACCCACGACCTTATTATTCTGTGTCCAGGGTGGAGGTCACTACCATTGGACCGATCAGAGCCACATTGTGTTCAGCCGCTGGTCTACCGATGCAACCAGTGGCTCCTGTGTTTATTTGGACACTGACGGCTTCTGGAAAGCCACTGACTGCACGGAGGAGCTGGGGGGCGCTATCTGCCACAAACCGCAAAGTGAGTGAAGATTTAGGCGAACTGTCATTTGTCCCTTTTAATTTACATTCTGTTTTTGGGTCAGTGGGAGAAACCTATGAAATCAGCAGGTTTTCAAGATTTCAAATATTTGCAGTATTGAGTAGTAGTATTTTAGTCCAAAAAAATGACAGGGTATCTTCGGGATTACATACGATCGATCATGATTAATCGTCATTATAATTAACCCTGATTAATTGAGACACATCAACATTTAGAAATACAACAAAAACATTTTTTATGTCTACTGATGGAACAGAAAGACAAATAACAGCAGGTAAATGTTTCATTTGTGATCAATTCAAATAGTTATAAATATGGAAAAATGTCCAGAAAAATGAGAAGTAAAACTCAAAGTTCAGCTTCATAAAGTTGGTGGATGATGGAAACACAGTAACATCTGATCAAATAATTTTTTTTTTTTTTTGTAGAAGAGATCATCACAACACCAGAGGATGTTGGCGTTAAGTGCCCTCATAAGACCAATGGTCCAAACTGGATCCCCTTCAAAAACAACTGCTACTCCTTCCAGTTGATCCCCGCCAGATGGGAACAGTATGATCAAGGAAACATTCAGGAAACCTGCAAGACAGTCCGTAAGGAGCATTTTTTCTTACCACATCAGATATACTTGTTTCGGTTGTTGATACATTTAGAAGTTTAGAAGACAGACTGACTCCGACGCCGGTGATTGGTTTGCCTCTGTGGTTCAGATCCAGATGCTGACATTCTCACCATCAGAAATGAGGAGGAAAATGAGTTCATCAGGCAGCAGCTACTGCCTTTCCAGTCCCTGGCGAAGTTTATTTGGCTGGGGATGTTTAAGGATAACAATGGTTGGTACTCTATCACTCTATCTCTATTATATATATATCTGTGATCACTGCATGGACAGTGGGAAATTGGCAACAATCATGAGCTATGGGTCTTTTTTAAAGTTAGATATCAGTTTTGTGATTTATTATGCAGGTTATGCAACATGTGATATGATAATGAGAGAACCTAACAACACGAACTGCATGTTACTGTTAGATGACCAGATGAAGTGGTTCGATGGGACAAACGTCCAATACTCCAACTGGGCCAGTGGTCGACCCAGTATAAACGCTTCATTCATGGCTGGACTCACCACTGACGGAAGCTGGCTTCTGGTGTCAAATAAATACCTTTTCTCCGAGTTCAAACAAAGGACCATAGTGACCTGCAAGCTGGACAAAGGTTGCTGCACTGTATTTTTTTTTTCTTTCTTTCTCTCTCTGTCTCCCTGCTGCAGCTCATCTTTCTGACATGTTTTCTTTCCCGTCCTCCCAAGAACTGAAAGAACAGTACAACACGTCATCGTTGAATCTGCAGCGTTACGGTAGCCTGACCTACCAGGTTCTGACGCAGAAGTTGAATTGGTACCAGGCCCTGAAAGAGTGGGGTCAGCGTGGGGGACACGTGGCCAGTATCCACGACATCCAGCACAATGCGCATATAAAGCTCATTGCCAAGACGGATGGTTTCCCGCTCTGGATCGGCCTTTCCAATCAGGATGTACGTGTTTCACAAAACCATAATCTTAGCAGGATTTTTTTTTTTCTCAATTCATTTGTTTCAAATGAAGCTCATGTGAACTCCCTTCATGCAGGTTACCGGCACTAACTACGAATGGTCTGATGGAACCAGATTTGACTATCAAACCACCATATCTGAGTCGGAGAAGACTACCAGCTCTGACAAACCGGAGGCCGGCTGTGTTCTCATAACCCCTGCAGGATTGTGGGTAAAGAGCAGCTGCCGTACGGTGGCAGAGGGAGCCATCTGCTACACCACCAACATCAGCAGCGCTTCACAGAGTAAGACACTTATAGCACTTGTAGCGTAGAGCCATGGTGTCAAGGAGTTTTATTGTTAGCAAAAACCGCCTCAAGATTCGAAAAAAAGTTTAACGACCCCGGCAGTCATTTAAAAAGGCGAGAGGTCTGTACTGGGCATGGGAATTGAATTGAATTGCTTCAGTGTCAGTGGTCCGTTTGTTTTACTCTCTAGCACAAATATTCCAAAAAAAAAAAAATTACCCAACTACCCATGCAATAATGCCACGCCCCTCCTTTGGGAACCATTGGCTTGATCTAATAGGTAGAGCGCTTGAAGAACACTTGAACTTGTATGACCTTCACCTCTTGTTTCAAAGAAAATGGAAGAATGAAAAGAAAAAACGCTCGGAAAGTCAAATTTAAATTTATTCTAATCAATAAAAAAAATAATAAGTGGGTGTTCGGAGATTATCTGTTAAAGGATTTGAAATTGTTCTGCCTTTTCATTAGCGGTAGCTGCATCGTTACGCACTCACATACAAGTTGTTTGGTTAATGTCACATTGGTGTTTATCGGTGTTCCGTGTCTTCCTTCATTAGGAGCCAAACAGCAGGCTTCACTCGAGGCCAACCGGTGTCCTCAGAGCAGCGGTGTGCCCAGTGGAATGTCCAAGTGGGTGCAGCACGAGCTTCACTGCTACGCCTTTGACATGAGCTTCTACAACTACAGCGTCTACAGCAGGGAGCAGGCCAGTAGCATCTGCCACAACATGGGTGAGTCAGGGAGACAAAAAGGTCCTTATTAAGTATATCAAGTATTATTTACATTACATTACATTTGTCTGTTTTTGTTTGTTTGTTTGGTTGTTTGTTTGTTCCGACAGATGCTGCGCTGCTGTCCATACAGAGCCAAGAGGAGAACGACTTTGTGACAAAGTACCTTTCGAACTATTCTCTCATCACTGGCCGTGTGTGGCTTGGCGTGGATGTGAACGCTCAAGGTAAAACAATGACTAATATCAGGACAACAATTTTACAATTTTACCCTCTGCCTGTTTTACATGGACGTATTTGAATTTTATTATATTTATTATAAATGAATTATGTTGTAGATGTCATCGACTAAAGCAGATGTAGATTTATATATAGTCACATCAAGTATTTCCAAAAGTGAGTGGCAGTTTTTTTGCCATATTTACCCACAACCCTCATTCTTAAATTAAAATGTATTGTTAGCTGGACTTACAGCTGCAAAAAAAACCCCAGAATTGCCACACATTGGAAATCCCCACATTCAGTTTCTTTCTGGTCATGGGTCGTGACATATTTGGACATTGTTTACTGGGATTTGTTGACAGCTAGAGTCCACAGAGAAAAAGAGTCAACGATACAGGCTTGGTACTCACTCTGACTATCCTCTGTGGATTATAGTAATGTTGACTTTATTTTAAATAAATAAATATATGTAAGTATATGTATGGATGTAAATATGTATTTTATGCTCTATTTTTGTAATATTTACACAGTATATATACAGTATATATATGTACACACCAATAATGTATTATATGTTTCAATTTTTTATTTTTCATTTTTCCTTAAAATATAGTAAAAATATCATCGCAAAAAAAAAGTATTCAACCTAATCAGACGGAGGCAGTGTTTGTTTCGTAGTGATGACATTCGTCGTTGTTTTTGTCTCGGCGTGTCCCTCACTCTCATTTTAGGAAACCCTTTGACATGGAATGACGGCTCAGCTCTCACATTTTCAAAATGGAAACCGGGGGCCTTAAATGCAGGGAAGGTCTCGTCTCCACAATGTGCTGTCATGATGACGGCAGACGATGGAATCTGGAACCTTGTCAGCTGCCAGTCCAGCTTCAGTCGTGTTGTTTGCAAAACCAAGGCCAGTGAGTATCACGAAGGAACGGGAGCTCCTTCTCTCTATGTCCTTTATGCATCAGATTTCGTGTCTGCTGCCAAAATACATCATCAATATTTTGAATGCAATACTACCAAGGGCTCCAAGGTCACACCCTGACGGCGAGCGCTTTTTTAAATCATTAACTTGGTCTAAGTCGTGGGCAGAAGTCTACTACTGACAATGATTTAACCAGAAACGAAAAAACGAATAAGCAAAATAACAATATTGTTACTCATAAAATGTAGGATACGTCTCAAAATAAATGTGTACTTTATGCTAGCTGTACATTTGATTAGAATTGGAATTAGAGTAGAGGAAAATCTTGTTACCCACCATGCATTTGTCACCAACATACAGATTTTGACCATTGCGGTTAACCTATCCAGTACAGATTACTACAGACCATAAGACAACCACAAAAATATGAAGTTCTCAGTTGATCAGTAACACCGCAGAAACCTCTTCCTGTACATGTGACTTGTGTCCCAGTGACCTGACCCCATTCTTGCCTCCACAGAGTCTTCCGGAACTCCTGTGGCCCTGGGCCTGTTCATCATCATAATCATCGCTCTCCTCCTTGTGGTGGCCTTCGTGGTCTACAAGAAGAAGCGGACGTACTTCTCCTCTACCGTCCGTTACAAGCGCACCTTCAATGACGTCGACTCCACCAGTATTGTAGCGGACACTGATTGAGCTCCAGTCCACAGCCTCAGGGAGTATTTTCATCTGCCTGCCTTGGAGCAGACGCACTGTTCATTATTTTATGAAATGAGGTTTTGTCCTGCTTTAGATCTCTCAAACTTCCAGGTGTAAATACTGTTTGTATATATCAATTACTTAATTTAGGTTATTTAAGAGCCACGATCTTACAGAGCTGTGCATGAAAATAGATACAAATGGTCTTACACTCCTGTCTAGCCTTAAAGGGACAGATCACAGTGATGTGTGGGTAAATTCAAACTAATAGTATGTAACTGAAGTTATATACATGAACATCAACTCACAACACTCCACAACCAAAGCTCAACTGTCTGTGTTTTCAAACTAAGTCATTTACAGATTTCTAAAAAGGAAAAAGCCACACAAATAAAACAAAAAACAAAACAACAAATCTCGGTTTGTGTGACTTGAAGTATTTCATAAATCATCAGCGCACTGCCCGGACCAGCCTGTGAACGTTTTAGAGTTTTTCAGTTTTCCAAAACGATGCAAAGGGAAGAAATGGAAACCGAAGGTTGTCCATGTTTACTTGTGTTTTTGATGATAGTATTGTATCGGTACTGGGAGACTGCACTGTTATCAGAAAAATGACTTGTGAATTCATGACAGACTGTGCCTTTAGATAAGCACAAAGAACATGTCACTGATTGTGCCTTTTACCAACATGACTTTAAAACGAGGAATAGTATTAGCCACTGGATTTGGTATATTTTAATTTAAAAATCTTAGAATGATCAAGCGCAAAAAAAAAAAAAAAAAACTACTGATAATATAAACATTTATTTTTAATAAAAGTCTTAGACTTGAAATAAACCAGAATGAACTCCAGACTTTTTTTCTTATTTTTAAATCTGTCTTTACTATGCACTCAACTACTGAGCAAGAATGCACTTTAAGCAGTTGTGGCTCCACTTTCTACTTATTTTCAGCACAAATGAAGATTTCTGTTGTTTTAATTGCACTGTTTCTTTTGTAAATGTGTTCTGTTTTGTGTTTTGCACCAAAGACGCTTTAACTGGGTTAATGTTCAGACTCTTAGCTTTTCTTTCAGCGTGTGGAAATGGTCGAATATGGCTCATGCATAAAAAGGTGTAAAGGAAACATTGAAGTTTTTGATTTTTGGTTTTTGAACTTTTAATGCACTCCTGAAAAAACAGCTTGAATCAGTTACATTATAATTACAATAAAAATGAACTCATTCAACGTCTTTGTGCTCTTTCTGTTATTTTTTGTTGTCGGATTTAGACTATTTACCTATGATTTACCTATATGATTTATAATCCTACATTAATCATGAATAATTATAAAATAACACAGGGTACTCTGTTCTCGTCATTTGATAACTTTTCGCTTGGTTGCGCTAAAATCAGTATTACGGTTTCAGATTTTTATTCCCCGTCAGATTTTCTTGCTTCGTCAATGCAATGCATTGCGCCTGCGCACAAAATAAAAGGTGCTGGAATACGCAATTACAGCTCATAAAATCAGTATGTGCTTGGAAAAAGTCAATATTTTTCACGAAAAAGCGATAAAATATTTCATTAATTGTAACTATACAGCAAATGTTGTATTTATAAACTTCTAGAATGTAATAAACACGACAGTGCGAGTTTTCACTAAAAATCGCCTCAATCTTCATTTTTAGTAGAAAAATGGATGGCAACGAGATTGTTTGCTTTAACCAATCAGATGTCGAGTTGGCAACACCAATGCCTTCCAGCAGCCTCGTTACGTTGACGATTTGAGTGATCTGATTGGATGGTCAAAGAACACACTGTCTCGACGTATACAAACTGCAGCTAGCAACTCGCACGCTCGAAAATTAAGTTTTATCTTCGTCCACTGCTTCTGTCGAGCGGGAATTCTCAGCCTGAATTAAAACTATTGCCGTAAATACACAGGACAGACATGGCTTCCAGCATTAACATGGATGGAGATAAAAAGGGACTTGTTGTTCGAACTTGAACGCGGTATGCGGTGAACTTCGAAGGAACGAGAGGAGGATAAACTTTACGTTAAGAAGACGTTTTGGTGAGTACAATGCATTGAGTCTTTTTATAATGTTTTGTATTACGTCATTGATGCGTTTTGATGTAAGACATGAAACTGTGGCTGGATTGTGCTTTGTGTGTTTGTTGCTTTAGTAATGGCGGGATTCTGGTTACACGAGTTATCTAGTATGAACACTTAATTCCGAAGTGGCGCATGCCCACTAAGGTGATGGGTTAAAGCCATACCCCACCGCTAGGGGACAGAAGCCCCCCTATTGCCAGCATCTTGTATGCAGAATGCTGGCACTAGCATTCAAACTGCTGTAACATTAATAAAATGTTCTGCCGTCTAGTGACTAGTAGCTTGTTTAGCGCAAAAACCCAGTTGGATTACATTATCATCAAAATAAATATTATCACCCACTACTCAATTAAAGTTGTTTAATTAAACCTGCGCAAGAATCATTCGGCGAGTGTTTAACTGTTTCATCTTCATACTGTATGAGTCAGATTAGTGACAACCTTCCATCACTGCTGAATCCATCCTTTTCAGTGCTTTTAATGTCTCAATATATTTCAACTTTACTGGTTTATTTTCCATAAAAGAAAATTCAACAAATTTAGTAAATCATTTTGAATTCTCAGACTGCATTAAGTAATTAGTAGTGGTGCCCAAGTACCCATGCAGTATTTTGTTTCTCCCCTTCGGGACAGGTGGTACTAATACATACAGCACTGGCATTCTAAGCCAGAAGCAGTGTTGGTCAAGTTACTTGGAAATAGTAATTATTTATTGATTACTGATTACTTCTCCAAGAAAGTACCCCAGTTATTTTACTCATTACTTATTTTCAAAAGTAATTAGTTACTTCAATAATTATTTACATTCCAAAATATGTACAACCTAAATACTGTATAAAGCAATTGACCTTTCAGCCTATTTCTATTCTTTCTCCGTATTCCATATAAAATTGAAACAAATGGAACAGTCTCTTTCAAATCTTGTTTTATTAATTGTAATCTTTAAACCTTGTACATTGTATTATGAAATTTATAAAGTGATTTTTTTATTTTAAATTAAATTAAAAATAAAAATAAATTCAAGTTTCTTTCTTCTGTTAATGTATATTTCTGCATATCCCAGTATATAACCTACAATTATTTTTTGTGATTAGACACCTTCATTCTCATAGATGTAAACAAAATACAGCAAAAAAAAAAAAAAAAAAACCTAAAGTCAAAGTCTCTACTGGCTGTATTGCAAATTAGTAACGTAGTTTTTCTGAAGGGAAAGTAATGGTAGTTTAATTACTGTTTTACTGCAATGGTGATCCCTTACTTTACTCATTATTTTCAACATGTTACTGTCCATCAGTGGCCAGAAGTAGAGTGTAAAGTATGTTTTGGACTTTGACACAGTAATAAGCACAGTCATGAGTTTTAAACTAGATGTTGAAAAAGAGAAAGATAGTAATAAGCACAGTCATGAGCTTTAAACTAGATGTTGAAAAAGAGAAAGAAAAAGACTACACAAATAGTAGCCTGCAATCATTTATTTCCAAAATTAAATCACGATTTACACATACATAAATAATTTCATACAATGAAACAAAGAAAAAAGTTGAACAATAATCTGAAAATAATGCTGAACCACTGTCATCTCGTCATCCATAAAATGTCTCAGCAACACACTTTGATATAATCTACACCTTACACCATCGATCCTTTTGTCTGAATTCATCTATAGAGCACTTGTGGTAGGTAAGTGTTAAGAAGTGACTTGCATTTTTATTGGATTATCATTGAATACAGTGTAGCCTGACACAAATAGAGCTGCGTCAGTCAAAATCTTCTGTAACTCATTTCAATTTGCATATTTCCTAAAGTGCCCCCGCATGTACAGCATTTGCACTTCCTCACTTCAAAGCTTCTGCAAATACCAGGCAAACCATCAATTGTTGTAAACCTGTTCCGCAGCATCTGACAATCTAATCCAGGTTCATTCCCTTCTTTCTCGTTACTCAAATACATCCTCCAGATCCTCATCAAGGTCCGAAAAGTCTATAGAGGGACGGCCGTCCGGCACCTCCCCGTCGCTGTCTTCGTTAGAATCTGGAATTTAGACACAGACCAGACACAGTTAGGGTAAAATACATAAGGTGCGTATGAAAAGTTGCTTGCAAGAACGAGAAATTCTTTTAAGTGTCAAACTGAGCCACATACTTCGAAGACTGTCCATATGTTCATGTAGGATTCTCACCAGGTTGAATAACTAGGTGAGAAAGGGAACAGTTCTTCTTTCAAGACATAGTTAAACATTAGACCATTTTATAAATTAATTTTTGGTCGTCTGTAGATGTGTTTGTGTGTGAAGACCACAGTACATATAAATACCAATACGGACAAACGGAAAACCACACTTCACTGTAATGTAACATGATACCAGGAAACAAATTGATTTTCTACAGCCGTTATCTGATCTGTTCTCATCCATAACTCAGTGTGGCCAAATTTACCCCCTGTTGTTTTACACACGTGTATATCCAGTACGAGAGAGAGAGAGAGAGAGCGTGTGTGTGTTTACCAACCCCAGCTGCATCCACCGCTCCGAGGACATCTGAGAATCTCTGCTCACAAAAATGCAGCAACACCACCAGATAGAGGCCACTGCTGATGAACTCATCGTACTCCGACTGTACAGACAGAAAGACAAACACTCAGCACTCTGTCCTCTCACTGCGCACAGATAGTGGAGCCAGGAAATCCCAGCACAATATAAATGTACAAATGCTGTGACTGTCACAATAACACACACGCATATTTACTGCAGTACATATGACTCTACTTACCTGAGCATGTGTCCTGTACAACTCCTGAATGTTAAAGTCATCTATGTTCAAACGTAGCTTTGCTTTGCAGAGTTCACATGTTGTGATAGCCTCCAAATTTGTGCCTGGGATTTTATATAAAAACAAGAAGAAGAAGAAGAAGAAGCATGAACCTCAAGTAAAATATCTAGTGCATAGAAAGGCACTCAGTTCAAAGACTCTCTTTTTCACCTGAACCAATTTTGGAACACAGCCACCGCTTGATGCACTCCTGGTGGACGTACTGCAAACTGCCTGTGCAGCGACAGGGCTGAATCAAAGGGTTGGAAACAGCATCCTCGCCCATCTGACAAATACGACACAGGTCGCCTTCATCCTCATCGGAATCCTCCAGGAGCAGACTGCAGCAGGAGCAGAAGATCAGCTTTACTCCAACTTAAAATACGTATCCATAATTTAAAATGAAAAACTGGTCTGCTTCGGAGAAATGCCAAAAAAAAACATCTTCTGTACTTCTTTGGTCAATGACATAAGAAATAAAGTTAGTCAGTAGAGTTGAGTAGAATGTTTTGACTTGTAACTCGCCAAGTCACTTGGTGGTTGTTTCCAAAATCAGTTCTCAACTTTCAGAATTCTACTCCCAGACTAAAAACAGTGAGCAAAAAAACTTCTTTTACCTCTCTTTGATCTTGCGCAGCTTCTCCTGATCCCTGGTGGAGTCAGCCTTCTCCTTCTGACTGTCCAGTGAGATCTCAGCGCCTCTCAGCGGACCCATGAAAGGGTTTTGATATGGTGCTTGTCTGCGGCGAGATGAAGATAATGTGCCCTCTTCAAGTTCAGGTAATGATTCATCATCCAGTTCCCAGGGGTGACCTGCTTCGAAGGCTTCCAGACCAACTGCTCCCTCCTCCTCGTCGTCGTCTCCATCCTCTTCATCTGATGTTTTTTGCTCTGCGTCCTCCCACCTCCTGAGGAGCCGCTGAGGGCGTCCAGCACCTCCTTCCCCTTCTTCTGACGCCGCAGCTGACTGTGCATTCTCATGCCTGGTGTGTCTTCTGAGTCGAGACAGTAGAGGAGGGCAACGACCACGGAGTGAGGAGGTGAGCCAGGAGGAGTTGCCGCCACCTCCTTCTCTGCTACTGTTACTGCTGCCTACACCAGGCTCTCTCCAGGATGACATTCTGGACGCAGCAGGATTTACACTGTTGTGGTTTTCCTGAATAGGTGTGAGATCTGCTCTGCCATTTCTGAGACTGCTCAAAGTTGCTTCCAAACCTGCGCGGTCAAGATCTACACTAGTCATCCGGGTTCCCTCGTCTCCATCCACAGACTCTCCCCCAGTGGATGGAGAATCTTCATCAAGGGAGCGAACGCTCGAAGATCCGCTGGAGGAATCTTGGCTGGAGCGTCGCGAAAACAGACGTGACAGGAGACGTCGTGTGGAGCTACGGCCCTGCGGCTCCTCACTCTCACACGCCGGCCTCGGAGGGAGTGTGGACTCTGGTCTTGTGTACCACGAACTGCGTCGTGAGTAGGAGGAGGGCACATGTGAGGAGGATTCTGGGATTACTGTTTGGTTCTGAGATGAGCGGAGGTTTGAGCTGTTCAACGGACGGGCAGTAGCTCTGCTGCTCGGCTCTTGTACCAGAGGAGAAAAATGGGAAGCGGAGGAGGAGGAGGATGAAAACTGGTGATTAAAAGACCTTTCTCTAGCAGTAGATGAGGGAGAGGAGGTGTAGGATGTCTCTTTGGGCCTTGCTCCCTGTGCATATGTGGAAGTTACCCTGTCAGTCTGATCTGTAAAAAGAAAAAGAACAACATTTAAGTCCTGGGCCACTAGGGAAAGTGAGTAGAACATCACAGAACATATCCACATTTCATTTTTCCCTCCTCATGAACTCTAGTCTCTTTATAAAATCGTAAAGCTGCAGGTTAGTCCATCGGAAAACTACATTTGATCAGACTTTCAATCAAGTTGTAATGTGTGTGATCAGTATTCACTCCTGAGTCAAATGACTCTGCAATGCACATGGATTTCTAATCACCTCTCCAGCATTGGCTTCAAGGTGAAATCAAGATCAAGGTAAACACAGTAGGTTCTCCCTCTATGTGTCTTTAACGGAAAAACTTTGAGGGCTGGTATGAGGTGTAGATTAAAAAAGGATTTTTAAGATGAGAATTTCGGGGCAGAGGTCTTCACCAGGAACGAACACTTTTTAGTTGATCATTGTGGACATTTTCAACAGGTCATCACTTATTGTCGTTTCTACATTTGGTTTTAATTCAAATGACAATAAAGCTTTGTGCATACTGATGACCAATTGATGGTCAATGCAATTTTGAAATTGGTATCAATTGACAAAGTGTGTTGATATTGAAGGCTTAGTTTGGACGTCATTGGTCTGTTTTAGAGGAACACAGCTATAGTTTTAATGAAACTGTGTGACTGCTGACTGGCTTAAAGGGCTTTTCCTGTCAAATATAGTATAGAAATGCACATACATAGAGAGGACACCACTCCAGGGGTCCTGGTTCTTCTTTCTCCCAATCCTAACAGTCTGGGCTCATACTTTGTCTCCTGTTCTCTCCAAGATGAAAATGCCTTTGAGGAGGAAGATGATGGCCTTGAATAACCTGTACCCCTTGAAGAATCAAACAACTCTTTCGGATTTTCAGCAGCACCTGTTCAGAGAAAAGCATTGAGAGGTATTTTCTTTAGTTTCCTCAAACATGTTTTCTATATGAAGTTCACCGTGACACACTTTTCTAAACAAGTCTTACCCAAACCAAGTTAAAACCTTGGTTACACATGTTAACTACACTTTATTTACCTCTGCCACTGCTCAGCCCATTAGTGGAATACACTGATCCTGTGAGTGAGGCGCTGGACGATCTTGAGTACAGTGCTCTGTTGCTATAGGACAGTTTGGCCCTTTTAGAATCGCCATCATCACTGGTGTTTAACAGACTTGAGCGCATCCCAAACCTGCTATCTGAGTCACTCTGAAAACATAAAGCAGACTTTGTTACATTTAACCAAAACGTCCAGTCATGTATTAACAATGTCATGTATTCCTCCAGACAAAAGAGACTATATGTAGATATATTAGTATAGAACCGCACCAGTTTGCTCCTGCTGCTCAGAGAAGAATCATTCCGGGTATAATCGTATGATCTGCCGGATGAGGTCAAAGACGTGGGTAACCTCCAGCTGGTGGAACGACTGTCAGAGCCGCTGTAGTCTCGGGAAGAGCTCAGGTAACGTGAATTCTTCAAAAAAAAAAAAAAGAAGGAGTGATGATAATGAAATTAATTAAATAACTTTTCCTTTTTTGTGCTATGTTAATACATAGTCAGCATGTGGGGGCTTGTGGTAAAATATGCAACAACATACAAATATATAAGTATATGTATGTATGTATGTGTGTATATATATGTATGAATGTATGTGTGTGTGTATGTATATATGTATGTATATGTGTATATGTATGCATGTATGTATATATGTATGTATGTATATATGTATCCATGTATGTATATATATATATATATATACACACACACACATATACTGGATATATAGTGTTTTTAATTTAATGATGTACATGTAATCATTTATTATAATTTAGTTACAAAAACAATGTTTGCTTTGACTACATTCTGTCCTCACACCAGCTTACATTCTTGGGGGTTGACTTGTAAAAGTCAGAACACAGTTTGTCACAACTTGGACAACTTGTTTGTAACATTTTTAAGAATATAGTCATAAAAAACCCACACTGTTTCCCCCTTGTTCTCCCCTCCCCTCCCCCCCCAGAGAGAAGCAGAGGTACTACATTGATTTAAATTGAATAAACTGACCTTTGTCTGCATATGTGGGCATTTGTCATTGATTACTCAACTATTAAACCAAAGCTATAAATAAAAGTTAAGATGCCAAGTAGTTAGTTTTCTCCTAGCACATAGCTGCGAGACCTGGAACAACCAGACGGCAGTAACACTATCTCTTCAGATCGGCCTTTCCCGGACTGCAAGACTGGAATACACATAACATGTGCCAAGGAATCTGGGCTGCCCTAAAAAAAGACATTCAAAGTGTCTGTTCTTGCACCACTAACACGAGCAGTCAGCTACGACACTGGTCCTCAGGGAAGGTGGAAAAACTAAAGAGTGAGCTTGAATGCCCTCTCTGGAATACATTAGAGAGGCTAATTCCCCAAGTATAATGGGAACATGAACATGTTGTCACAGACTCAGTAGCTGTGTTTACATGGACAGAAATTAAACGATTTAAAGGCTGTTAGTAATAAAACGGCATCATGATAACAAACCAACCAGAAAACTCCTGGCCTGCATGGGAACGATTTTAGATCCTTTTGACAAACAGCCTATGCAATTAAGACGTCTACATCCACCTACGTATTCAAAACAAATATTGTGTTTGTCTGTTTGTGCCCTTCTAACTATACCTGTAATTTGTCATGAGTCTATCCTACCTGCTGGTCCAGGTCTGTCTTGTAGGACGACGGACCCCTTTGGAAGCGGTCATTGCTGAGCGTTGTCTCCCTACTGTTCAACCTGCTGGAGCCCAGAGACGAGGAGGAAACTGACGGACCGGATATGTAGGACGAACGTGAGCTGGACAGACAGAACGGCAGCCGACGAGAGCTGGAGTCCATCATTGACTGCCTTGAACCTGCGAGGAGAAATCTCCAGGTATTATTGACATTACAAACACTTCATCTGTAGCCACAGGCAAGTACATGGTCTAGACGTGCTAACAGGAAGTGTAGTCTGTTGCAATTGTGTCCGTTTATGCCCCACCCAAAGTCAAGTGACTTGGCATGTTGCGCCACTCTGCTGACACTCCCGGGTACCCAGATACAGCCCACGTGAAAGTGTTTCTGTAAACACTACCTTCCTGGACTCCAGGAGGCGTCATCTATCTTGGGGACTATGAACTCTGTCACATGAACATGATATTGTACGGACAGCAGCAGCGTGTGCATACTAAATGCTCCTTAACCAAGTTCGAGATACTAAAATCAATTATTATCAAGTTTCATTTTCTGGGACTACGCAGAGCAGCCGATACTTATTTTTCCTCCTCGAATCCGTCGTACTGTACCTATATCGTATCAGCTGAACTCCAAACATAGCTCGGGACCTGAGAGGGAGATTTGAGAGTGTCTGACCGAAGTAGGTACAGTGTGACTTACTCCCTGCTACTAATACGGTTCCATGGACATTAGCTGCAGCACCTGTGGTCAAAGATAGCTCCACAAGCCATTAGGCTGTCAGGGAAAAATTAACTGCAGTGAATATGAGCAGACAAGGAAATATTTAACCACAGCAGTGGAGCACTCAAACCTTTTAACGTCACCGACAAGAGTCCAACTTGTAAGACACAATTATTTGTATAAATTAAACAATGCAAAAACAAAATAAGAACTTAAGATTTAAGATTAATGCATGCTAAATTAGACAAATCTATACAACAAATGTGCATTCTTCGAGTGCGCCATTAGCCGTTACATTTTATTGACTTGCACTAAGAGCATCTAAAATTAGTAGGCATTGCACAGCTATTTACAACTTTTTATTTCAAGGGTAATACAACACTAAAAAGGTTCTAAAACCTTACATTACAATGAGTGAATCTACACTCTCTATCAGTAAATGACTGGTATGTTACTGGGCTGTTCAGGCTACGGTATACTAGCTCAGTTGACCTCCAGCCCCCAATAAATAAAAATAATTACAGTATAGTTAAAGAAAACAAATACTTACAACAATGAAACACTGTTTTCCCATTTCCGTTGCACTGCATTCATTTTAACTACAGTTCAGTGTCATAACAATAGAAAGAAAATGTCTGCACTAGCATTAGCCTTGGTTGTAGTGTTTTGTTGTTTTTTGTTTGTTTACATTTTATATTCTATAACTTTGTGAAAATTAGTTATCAGTCTACCTCAGCGAACTGAAACACTCATTTCTCCATCTTGGTGCGTTGACACCAGCTGACCTTTGAGTCAGTTTGACTCAAAACATAGACATCTCCATCTTGAAAATGGTGACCACTTGCAGGAGTAAACAAATATTAAAACAAAGAATAGAAGCAGGGGACTGTGCAGCTGCAGATGACCACAGTATCATACGCTGTTACTGTAGCTGTCAATGGGGAAAAAAAAAGAACTTCCAGGAAGCAGACTGCTTGGTAATGATTATACTGGTCGCTTGTGTAAAAGACCATACGTCTACCTTATGCTACATACTCGATTTTCTGAAAACGTTACTAACAAAATTAGGTTACGACCTTAATTTTAGTAAAGAAACGACAGTTGTGCGCAAACTGGACTTGCCTAAACTGCTCCAGGTGTCACTCTAATAATATTTACTGAAGACAGTGACGTATATGGAAAAACCACTTGCTGTTGTTTTTAAACGACAGCTCAGAGCAGAGTTAGCTCCTGGCTAATTAGCAGCTCAGCTTTCCATTCGAACGGTGACAGTCACAAAGTATTTTTCAGTATCTAAATTTCGTTTGACATTCTGGTGAAACAACCGACATGTTACATATTACAAATAAGACGACGTCAGCCCACGTCCTCACCTTGTCTTTGTCTGGCGTTTCTTTAGCAGAGCAGCAGCGATGGCGTCTCAGTTTGACAGCTGCTGCTGATCAGCTGATAAATAACGAAACAATGGGCGGGGTTTACATAGAGTTTTTAAACTATGATTGGTACCATTATTATTATTGTTATGATTACTCTTAGTATTATTATTATTATGATTATCGTGAAATTGTCAAAATTACATTTTTTAAAAACCTGTAACTGTTTGGATAAACCTTTTATGGAACACAACGAACACGTAAATTTGTGAATTTTTCATAGTTACCTAAATTGAATCGTTGTGATAAGTAATTATTTTTTGTCAAATATTTATATATATATATATATATTACCATTGTATTTCCCTATTGTGAACACAGGGCATTACACTCACAACTGTGAAGCTTGTACCTTGTACCTTGTAAGCCAATGGTTCTCAAATTGTGGGGCGGGTCCTCACAAGGAGCGCAGAGCACCAAAGCAAATTTATTACATTTATTTTCTTAATTTGTCCTGAAGTAAATATAATGAGAATGTTTAAACAAATACCTTAAAAAACAAAGCAAACTACAATGACATGCATACTAAACATATACAAGAAAAAGTAGAGCAATTCCATGCCTAGAGTCAGAAATAATGACGATGCATGATGTCCACATCATTGGACAAATGGTTAATCGTAATTAACAAGTTATGTAAAAAAAAAAAGTAAAATATTAGAATTTCTACTTCATATATATATATTTTTTAACTTCTTCTCAAATAGGAGAGCTGACAACATATCCTAGGAGTAGTAAACAAGTATGTCTATCTGTCTGCCATCTTGGATTTAGAGGCAGGAGTAGTAAACAAGTATGTCTACAGTATCTGTCTGCCATCTTGGATTTAGAGGAAATTCACATGCAGTTACAATGACTGACCACTAAATGAACCTCAAAGAAGATGCTCAGTAGAGAGCACTCTAGCGGTGCAGTTCCAACGTAGAAGCACATTTATTAAGGAGATCTGGCTTAAAAAGTCTACTGCAGTGACCTCTATGCACCGGAGGGCTAATTTAGAAGCAACATTTTTTTTTACAGATATTTTTTAAGAACCAAGTGACCTACTTTTTTCAAGCTCTGTTCCATATTCTCTTAAATTACTTTCTACTTCAGAATATCTGGAAGTCTGAGATCTGTAAAATGTTAGATTTAAATGCTTTGAATTTAACTTTGAAGATCATCCCTGGGCTTAAGACTACCTTTCTTGTCTTGTAGTGGTTCTTCAGATTTATGGATTTAGGGCTACAAGGTAAATCAAAAACGTATCAATATAATAAAATGATGAATTATAACCTATTCATAGTTTATTTTATTTTTAAAAAACTGACAAGGGCTCATGGTTCTTATGATTTTAAAACACAAGAAAGAACTGCAAAATTCAGCCTTTTAGTCTAGGATCTTTTTATCTTGGCATTTTTGTAAATTACTCAGGCTTGGAGGGTTAAATCAGGGTTGAAAGATGGTCACTCTCGCACACACAAACATTTATGATATTATGGCCCATTTACCGACACAAATGGAAGTATGTCTGTGCACTGGAAAGGAAATTGAGTAAAAGGAAATGGAGGCAGGCAAAGGTACTTTGGTGTTCTTTGTTAGAACATATTTGATAGAGAACAAAGAATAATTTTTAAAAAATGGAATCATAAAGCAATATTTTTTAAAGTGGCTGAATCACAACAAAAAAACCTGCTGGTTTGCAGTCTGGTTTTGAGCAAATGGTATTATTTGTGTGTTTCTCCTCCAGGAACTTCAAGTACAGCACCAAAGTGTCCACAGAGTAGAAAGGTTCTTAAAAGCTAGTTTAATTAAACCACAATTTGCCTCGAATGTGCTTCGGGTTTTGGGATAAAACATAACATATATATATACATATGCATGTATATATATGTGTATATATGTATATATATGTGTATATATGTGTATGTATATACATGTATGTCTATATATATGAAGTTGAATACAAAGTTGTGTAGACCAGCTGTAGATCAAATAAAAAAGAGAAGTTAAATATTAAAATTAAACATTTACTTAAACAATAAAACATTTATTATATATGAATTGTTTTTTAATCATCCTTAGTCTTTTTTATTATTATTGTTGTTGTTATTGTTATTATTATTGGCCATAGGGTTAGACCGCCGGCCTTTACAGCAGAAAAATCACTGGTTAGCTGGTATGGAAGCTTGTTTGTCTGTATGTGATTATCATACCTGAAATAATAATGTGCTAATATTATTTCAGGTATGACGTCATTGTGAAAGCCAGCTGTAGGCAGTCGCCACTAGATGTCATTATAGTTCATTTTTTGCTGTCAGCATCAATAGAGGATGCAGCGGTTCTTCACTGTTCCCTGCTGGATCTGCCATGACTTGTTTTCTCAGGGAGGCAAATTAAAACCAAGACTGAGGTTTACGCAGATGAAATCAAATAATTGTTTTGAAAGACATTGTAGATCCAATTATCGCCATAAATCCTGGATTCATTTTATTTGCATAGACTTTAAAAACCCATATGATCATTTTATGTACCAAACTACCCGACCATACTTTTGCTCACCCTCTTATTTTGCTTGCACATTCTTCTACAAGCATTATTGCATTGTTGGGGTTTTTCTTTCTCCCGCTACAGAGGAAAAATCAATTCATCATTTAAAAAGTGTAAACCAGTGAATTCATGTTAAGTGCGTTTGGGTCCTGGAAGGTCATTTTGGAGCGCAGTGAGAGCGGTGTTCCACAGCAGCGGCATAATAACGTGAAGGTCAACAGGATACTCATCACGCCTGGTAAAATGTAGCACTTAAAAGGGCCAGCAATCCTTTATTAGGGGCACGTATACAACGGTGAGCAGTGATCAAGCCGAGTGTAAATCTACCCAAGGCCGACACAACAAGAGGTGAAGGAGAAACCGAGAGTGAAAAAAGGGGGGATAAATATGGGAGGGTGGCGCTGCAGATTAATTGCTGACAAAAAGGGATGCATGGCCTAGACAAATGAGGCGGTGCAAGGTCTGCTGGGTTGGGGAAGGGGGGCCTGCAGCATCCACTTGTAGGTCTGTAGGCCAATGCCACCCCAACTTACTGCACCTCACGCGCACCGACGTGAAGAAAAACCACCTTCTTCCTCCTCCCCGGTCCTGCTGATAGGATGATAACGGAGCATTCCATGAAGTGGTTGCTCACTCAGGCTCGCTGTGACAAGGGAGGAACATGCCTCTCTCTCTCTTTCTCTTTCTTCCACTGTGGGCAGCCAACTCTCTCAGCTAAGATCCTGACATGTAACCCGAGACTGGCTCACCCTGCCGTCTCTCTCACTCAAATCCGCCTCATTTGTCTACTGTTGATATGGGATGGACACTAAACCGTCCATGTGAGCCGTTGTTCACTTCTTCCAGCTGTAGAGGATGGCGTCAGATTTTCCTTGTGCGCGATGACAAGAAAAACATAATTATGGCATATGTCATAGTTCAGCCGTGGATATTTTTCCCCCTCACATATTTTTATCTACAGACAACTGGTTATCAAAGTAAAAAAAAAAAAGAGTCTTGAGACAACAGGAAACAAATAGAACACAAATGTATTGTTTACCTTTGTGAAATTAACTTTGGGGCTTAAGACACGGAGGGGGGGAAAAAAAGCCTGTAAGAATGTCTCGATTTGTCCAGCTCTGTGTAATCACAAAGGAATGTCCTGAGACATTTCTGCTTTTCCTCTACAAGACCCCTCTTTTCCCACGGCTCGTCCAGGTCTTGAGAATCTGTTTCCTCTCTCCCTCTCCTTCTCTCTAATGTCTCCCTTCCTCCCTCTGTGTTTGTGGACACACATGAATACCGCTGGTTTATAGGAGAATGACAACCCCAGATTAGTGTCTTCAAGAACACAAGGAGCGGAGGCCCGACTTCAGAGTAACCTCCGGGAAGAAAGAACATTTCATTTGCAGGGACCTGACCTATTTTTTTTTTTTTTTTTTTTTTTTATGGTTCAGAAATGCTGCAGACAAACATGTGGCAGTCATTTTCTCAAACAACAAACCGAGTTAATGACCATCTTGTGGCAGCGCCGCGATAATTTTTTGCAAAGGTGATCACTGCCGCTTATCTGTGTTTAATGCTGGTTATTTCTATGAGCTGCATTAAATGTTTTTAATCTCTTCAGGTCAGCGTCGTGGTATTTAAAGCAATCATCTCGACGCTTTAATGTCAACACCAGTTGTTTGGATATCACTGACTCCTGCTCACGTATATATATATATATAGTATTTTTGCACCAATTGTTCTAACAACATTCTGTCAATGCTGTTGTTATAATTATAGGACACACTGCAGTTATCACTAGGATGCTAATATTTGTCTTTTAATTATTTCTATGAACTTTTCAGGTACAAACCCTGGACTTTGTCTGGATGCCAAGTCCTTATGGAAGAGTGAGGTAAGGATTTTCTTGCTGTACTAATGGGTCCTAATGGGTATTTACAAAGAATGAGTAGAGAGAGAGAGATTCTTAATCAGGAGTGAACCCAAAAATGACAGCTTTCGACTGTTGTTGTTTGCTATTATAGCGTAGGGATTGAAGGTCATAAAATTGGAGTAAATTAACAAACCTACTTACAGCAGGTGCTTAAGGTTAGTAAGAAGGCTGTGGGACTGTTTCAGTCAGTGTGAATTAAAATGTCCCGAAAAAAAAAAAAAAATCTCTTTCTCTCTCTCTCTCGGGCTCTGTGTGTGTGTGTTTGTGTGGGTAGGTAAATGTGTACACATCTGAGGAGCTCAGTAACACTTAACACTTTAGGCTCCGTGTTAGAGCAGCACTCCCTCAAATGTTTGTTGCTGTTTGAAGACACCTCTCCCTCACTGCGCTCCGAGGACTGGGGGAAGACACTGTAATTGGACGGAAACATGTCGTACACTATTAAAAAAAATACATTCAGTCAGAGTGGGAGT